ATATATATACATATTTATTTGAGAGATATATATGTGCTGAGTGGTTATATTACTACCTTAAAAAATAGGCAGAAACTCGACGTTTCGAACGAAGGGCCTTCGCTCGAAACGTGGAGTTTCTGCTTATTTTTTAAGGTAGTAATATAACCACTCAGCACAGCATTTTCACATTGGTATAGTGTTTTGCCGGTTTGTGTTTGCCATGCATGCATTTTCGGTACGGCTTGGCTGTTTATTCATCGAAATGCACAATCTCACAAACGTTATACATGCATGGGAAACTGGCACAACTTCCCGACGCGACTAAATATATCTGATACTGCTGCTTAAATTGTCTCCAATTTTCTGATGTATTTCCATCGAAACTTAAAGCACTCGGCTTATGAAAGCTATCTATAATATTATACCTCACAATGAGCTTGTCCAATCAGAGAACTAAATTTGTACCACATGATCATGGTATTTTTCAGCGAATACTATGACCTAGGCAATTTGAACCCTGGGTGTTTTACCCGGGGCCATGGTATTCGACTTCGAATACTACGCTTGAGCGGGAAATTCGACTTTTTTAAATGTAAAGTTATCAAAAGTTGTGTTTTGAAATTAAAAGTTAATAGAATGGTATTTGTTTTCTACATTTTTTGAAAGGTTCGGTATAATATACCATTTATAGACCTTTCACTCGGGGTATTCCACAAAAAATTACCCTGCGGGATGAAATATTCCTCGGGCTTCGCCCTCGGAATATTTCATCCCTCAGGGTAATTTTTTGTGGAATACCCCTCGTTTCAGGTCTATAACTGATAAGAATCCCACTCCTGACACCATGTAAAATACATTTAATTTCAGTAAAACCTACAGTCTTGACAACAACAAGCCTTTATATTATCCTAAATACTAATTTACATAAACTGTCATGCTAAATGTGACAAATGTAATATAATATTCTAATCCCAACCTATAAAACCATCCAAGGCCTATAAGCTTAGCAGAACTTTACATCTTCTCCGAAATTACCCAGATCAATTTTTATTAACCTTTATATTATGACCTAAAGCTTGTTACGCATGCGTAGACATTATTTACATAATTGTCCCGTAATAATTAGATAGTGTTGGTTGGTATAAATACCTGTAAATAATGTACATTGTTATGCCGCGAGGCAGCACTATTCTTGCGATAAATTTTAAATTCATATGGCCATATGATTAATTTTTGGTGGTTCGATAATGTCGGACCGATTTATTTACTTATTTATAAAGCTTTAAGCCTGTTTTCCACTAGGCGGAATTTTGCGCGCGGAGCGGAATTTTTCTTTGTCTTTTCTAATTAGTTCCACCCGAGAAATCACAAGACAAAGAAAAATTCCGCTCCGCGCGCAAATTCCGCCTAGTATATAGCCTCACTAAAATCATTGTCTAACGGAAGCAAAAGTTGCCGCTATATATAGCTTTTGAACTTGCATGATTAGGCAAAATAATTTGTTGTTATTCGTTGTGACTGCACGGGACCAAATCCTGAATAAATTGAATGTCGATGCATGCGTGTCTTTCACGTTGAAGCGGATCTTTCTGAAAACTTATAGTATTGCTCGAACGATCGCAGTAAAAAGTTATACCACATATGCGCAAATATTTCTTGTGAAGATTCGGAGAGAAGATGGGTTCCCACGTTCTTCTCAGATAGTGATAGATAGATAAATAGATATAGATTTATTTAAACAACCTCGTCAACTATAAAGCTGATTTCCACGAGGGGCGTGTGAACAAGAACTATACAGCAAATATGAAAGTATTTAAAAGTTATTTACAAAATAGAAGGCATAGTATAAAATATATTAAGTATTTATTAAAACTATAAGATGTAGTATATGAGGTAATAGTGTATTTACAGATGTATATATTTGCTTTAACTATATCAATGTGAGCGGCGAAGGAAGAAAGGGATTTACTCTCTTTAATTTCCTTAGCAATAGAATTCCAAAGGAATGATCCATCGTTGACATAAAACTGACTTTTTTTCAAATTATTAGTCCCGGGTCCGGTAAGCAAAGAGTACTTGAAACGTTTCGAAGATTATAGCTAGTTATCTTACTTTTATAAGTGAATAAGTTAGTGAGTGATTGAGGGCCCACGTTATTTAATAATTTATATTTATCCGGCACATACTTGTACCTTTATCAGGTAGGAAGCAGCGGGACATAAAAACGATATCGTCCCGGATATCGTTTTCTGTCCCGGATATCGTTTTTTGTCCCGCTAAATTTCGCGCCTTGTCAAAACAAAGATGGCCGACTCGAGGTTCGTGTTGGTTGATGTCGACAGTTTATCGAAGGAAACAAGAACGATAATACAAAACGAAAGACTTAAATTGTATATTATTTATATGAATGGTCTATTTATTTTCGAAAATCATATTCATTAAACTGCTACAATTACTTTCAGAAGTTGTTGGGACACATGTAGTTTTAGATTGTAAGTGGTTCAACTTCATTACAGTTTTTTACACACAATACACCTCCACCCCACCCCAATCAGTGTTGCTCCAACCAAAACACATCAAACCTGACGAGAAATGGGACAAAACATTGAACAGGGGGCGGGGGGATTGACGTTTGTTGAAATTCAAATGTTTTGTGGCATCTGTCCCAAGACTTTTGAAACTGATTGTCTGAAAGGCAATGAAAGGCATATTTAACCTCTTTGAATTACCCGCAATATCAGTTTCGCGAAAATCATATTGCGTTTAGTATAACATGTTTACTGAATTGCATTGGCATATGTAAACTCCTTACTGTGCTTCGGTTGTGGTCAATATCTTTGAAATGTAACACCGATCCAGCAGTATATTATAAATGAGCTTATACTGAAAGATGTGAGTGTGGGGAGGGTAGTACGCCAAGCGATTAAACCTGGTCTATATGCAAGGGAGAAAACACATCTATCTGGTTAATTATCGACCTAGGTTAATGCTAAATAAAATGCAAGGGTAAGCTATCGAAGACCACTTAAAGATTGTGCATATTTGACATGAAAACATGTATGTAATATAAAACGGCTTGAACACGTGCTCGATTGACACTCGGTTGTCACTTTGAAATATAGTAGCATTTTCATTGATATAACTTTCAATTGTCGCGGCATAATCATTTTCAGAACATTAAGTACTAAGCAAATGTGTTTAGGGAGCGCTTATTGATATATTACAGGTTCTACTTAATCACAAAGTATATAAATTGTATAAAATGTATTGATTGACACTCAACTCTAGAAATATCAGTATGATATATCAGATTTATTTATGTAAAAAAGTCTCAATCGATCCAAAACTTGGTTTAATCAATTTCAAACCCTTTCATTAATAGCAAATACATTGTTAGACATTCTCAACAGATTATTCTTAGCCTTGTTTTTTTTAAAAGATATCTTAGTTGCCTAGCTGTTATTTCATATTTCTATAGTGACAATCGAAGTGTCAACCGATGTTAGTTTCATTGCATTCGTCTCGTCCGGAAACGCTTATTAGCATAATTAGCGTATAACACTAACGTCAGTGTTGTATAATGCATACAACGCCGTATATACTGCGAGTCGCTTTCGTTACATATTTCTGGAAGCCTGTGCAACTTTCTTGCTTCGGCGGCTCGCGCTAGTACTGGCTAACGCGTCAGCATTGGGAAGGTCTATAAGCCCTGGAGAAATCACCAAGTCCGGGTCTTCCTTTACCATGCACGAATACGCTGAATAGTAATTTTTGTGATTGTCTGCGGAAAAGTTCGATTAAATGCCACATTTACTCTTCTCGAGCTTTCCGATAGCTCGCCACATCGATCTTGTGGACAATTTGTTTTGCCGTGTGGAAGTGACTACCGCTCTTTCCATGAGCCTCCGACATTCCCACATACTTTTCTTTCCTACCCATGCGTCGACAATTATATCTGCAAATTCTGTTCTAAAAAGATGTGAAATGTCACATTGACCACAAGTGATTATAAAGCAAACGTTCTTTACCTTCGGAGTACCCGAATTAGCAGTTGACTCAGCCCTTACCCGCATTGGAAAGTAACCGGATGTTATATTACTATGCTATTAATTAACAGTAAGTGCGACATATTAATTTAGCGTAAAACATTCGCGATACCTATCTTTATATTGACTGACTATATATAGCCTCTTACCCACTTGTGCTCTGCCGAAATTTGTAAAAACAAACAACGATTAAGAATGCTATATGACATAACAAGTCATATTCATATCCTGTTAATTATTAACTTTGAGAATTTTAATGGAACTTATTTGCTTTAAAATGTTATATTAGATCTTCTGTGAACGAAATGGAGCAGAAATACTTCGTTCGCAGAGCATTCTATCCCCTGTACTTTTGAGATATACAATGGTGTTATGGCATATGGGGCCCAGACAATCACTTTCAGAAGTTGTTGGGACACATTTAGTTTTAGATTGTAAGTGGATCATTACAGTTTCAGTTACACACAATACCGCTCCCCTCCCCCTCCCCCCACCCCAATCAGTGTTGCTCCAACCAAAACACATCAAACCTGGCGAGAAATGGGACACAACATTGAACAGGGGGGGTTGACGTTTGTTGAATTCAAAGGTTTTGTGGCATTTGTACCAAGACTTTTGAAACTGATTGTAGTTGCCTACTGTGTAGACTTGCTCCAAGTCTCTCTTTGTGGAGACCCACTATATTGTACGTTACATGACGTACCGCTGAGGGGGAGAGGAGGAAAGAGAAGAGAGACTTGTAACATCTGGCAGCAGACATACTTCCGGCTGGTCAATTTCGACCAGCCGGAAGTAGATGGCCGCATTGACTTATCATGTGTTTAGGGGGGAAGGCGACATCTGGACTTATTTGTTTAACATAAGTAATTTTAATTTTTTTTCTGTGCTGGTGTTGTGTACTCAGGTTAATAATATGTTTGTGATGTTACTCTGAGTGCATATCCACACCGGGCGAGCTTGAAAAAATATGCCCGGCCACGGTGGGATTCGAACCTACGACCTTTGGAATACTAGCCCAATGCTCTTCCAACTGAGCTACGCGGTACAAGAACACATTGGTATTGAAGGAACTAGATACTGTTCCGAAATATCACTTACTCGAACCGTCCTGACCGCGTAGCTCAGTTGGAAGAGCATTGGGCTAGTATTCCAAAGGTCGTAGGTTCGAATCCCACCGTGGCCGGGCATATTTTTCAAGCTCGCCCGGTGTGGATATGCACTCAGAGTAACATCACAAACATATAAGTAATTTTGTATTCACGAGATTTCTTGTAGATTTCACATCACTTTTGACTGCGTGCATTTGGAATTTTGGGCATTATTTTTGCAATTTATTGTAAACAACGATTATAAGAAGAACGGATAAATTACAAATCAGCCGTAATCGTCATAAACCTCGATGACCACCAGGTTTTTGTGTTTGACAATTTGTATTTCATTAGATATTTATATGCAAGGTCAGTATAAACGGGTTATCATATAAAATGATCATTCTAATGAATTGATAAAACGAATTATATCTAATATAGCTTAATATGTACGGCCGCGTTTTTTACACGGCCACTACTGAAGCGTTTAGCTTAATTGATTGTTGAATAAATCGATGACTTGCTTAGTTGCTTTCTGTTTTGAGCTTAACCACCGTTTAAGCTAAACGGGCTTGATACAACTGGCCCCAGACTTGGCCCCAGATAAACATTTTTGTATTATCGAGATCGAAACTATAGTAAATTGGAAACCGTGTCAATAATATTATATTAGAACTTATGAACATGCGGAAAATTGTCACGCCCAAAATTTATACAAATTTTTAAAATTTTCCGCATGTTTATAAGTTCATTGTACGTTTTTTATTATTGACACGGTTTCCAATTTACTATAGTTTCGATCTCGATAATACAAAAATGTTTATCTGGGGCCGAGTCTGGGGCCAGTTGTATCAAGCCCGTTTAGCTTAAACGGTGGTTAAGCTCAAAACAGAAAGCAACTAAGCAAGTCATCGATTTATTCAACAATCAATTAAGCTAAACGCTTCAGTAGTGGCCGTGTAAAAAACGCGGCTGTACATATTAGATATAATTCGTTTTATGAATTCATTAGAATGATCATTTTATATGATAACCCGTTTATACTGACCTTGCATATAAATATCTAATGAAATACAAATTGTCAAACACAAAAACCTGGTGGTCATCGAGGTTTATGACGATTACGGCTGATTTGTAATTTATCCGTTCTTCTTATAATCGTTGTTTACAATAAATTGCAAAAATAATGCCCAAAATTCCAAATGCACGCAGTCAAAGGTGATGTGAAATCTACAAGAAATCTCGTGAATACAAAATTACTTATGTTAAACAAATAAGTCCAGATGTCGCCTTCCCCCCCTAAACACATGATAAGTCAATGCGGCCATCTACTTCCGGCTGGTCGAAATTGACCAGCCGGAAGTATGTCTGCTGCCAGATGTTACAAGTCTCTCTTTTCTTTCCTCCTCTCCCCCTCAGCGGTACGTCATGTAACGTACAATATAGTGGGTCTCCACAAAGAGAGACTTGGAGCAAGTCTACCTACTGTGCAGTTAACTAGTCATGTGCACAACCAATTTGTATATGACACTTTTGACAGCAGCTTGAGTTGATGGCCATGGGGGAACTTTTTTATGCTGCAATAAATCTCTGTTCTGTGCACATACCACCTCTGCAATATAAGCACTTTTTGTTTTGATATCCTCAACACACGGAAAGTTGACCCAAGAAACGATGGGTCATTCCACAATACATTCACACACCTCCTTCAGTTGTTTAATATGTCCTCAAACATTTTACTAGGTTAGAGGAGTTTGTTCTGCTTCCCTCTTAAGGTGACAGCAATATCCTCTGTAGTGAGGGGGTCCGATTTCTGTCTGAATAATCCTCACAATTATATAGACTAGCTAACTACAATATATTTAAACATTAGTCACTTTTCTTATTTAGGTTGAAACTTTAGTGTGGACAAGAATGAAACACAAGGTCTTTGGAGGTTCAAATAGCATGAGCAGTGGTGTACTGGCCAAGACCATCAGTACCCCTAGGAGTACCCCTAGAAGTTTCAAGATACTGAACAGCAGAGCAAATTCGTCATAGCCAGTGGGGCAGTAAAGTTATTAGAACAGTTTAGATTTTAAAATTATTTATTGTAATTAATTATTAGGCCTATTCTTTCAAAAAGTTAATTAGATTACTTCAGCTGTGTACTGTGTTATAAATATGGGATAATTTTGCAAAGAAAAAGGCATGTGAAATTACAAAGAGGAATACACAAAAACAGAGGCGGCGGAACATATTTTATTTTGGGGGTGCTAATTTTTTTTTCGTAACCACCCACCCTTTTCTTCGTGACACTCCCCGCCCCAGTCGACACTTCTTTTCGGACATAAACCAAAAACATTTTCCGGACATATACAAGAAAAGGGATGATATACCGCAAAAAGATTTTCCGGATATACATTTTTTAAATTCACTAAACAAAATATTGCAAATTTTACCACTTACACGTAAATTCTCCAAAAATACCATGACTTTTACCTTAATAATCAACATTTTTCATTTTACTTCTGGGGAGGGCTAAAGCCCCCCTAGCCCCATGTTTCGGTGCCACTGCACAAAAAAATACTGAATTTTAAACCAAGGGTGCCTTAAATACAGTATGGCTTAACTCAGGGTGTACCTTGTGTGTGGGACAGGGGGTTGTGCACCCCCACTTTCTGCTAAGATTGAGTTGATAAAATCAGAAAAAGGAATTCTGATCAATAAAATATGGGCGGAGAGGTCATTGGTAAAATTGTTATGTAGTTTTCCTCAAATATTGTGATTCATCACAATGTACCTTATAGGCCTGTTAGTGAATATTGAAAATTGAATCGAATTTTTAAATTTTCTGATGACTTGAAATTCAAAGGGAGGAATTAAGTGGCCAATGAGTGGGCATTGGGTAATGCCCTAAAACATTTGAAATTTTATCAAAAAGCTATCAGAGAAGACAGTAACTACAATGTCATTTGTGTTCCACATTGGCTGAAATGTGTTTTTCCCACCATCATGCACATTTGTATTCCTCACAAAAGCACCATGTAAATAATACAAAATACTGATACATGCATGGTTTCATACTGCTTGCAGGAAATTACTAAAATTTGAAAATTGCCTTGAAAATTTGGAATACTTTTGTTTTACAACTTGAAGACGAAGTGAAAGAAACGGTTTTAGAACCGAAAAAAAAAGCTCAGATATATTATACAGATGTTTGGTAGTATAGTAAGTGCTTGCATGTTGACTGCAAATTCGTTTGTCTTTCGTTGCAAATTTTTCTGCACAATTTATATTCTCAATGAACATGTTTTTTCGCTGTTGTTTCGGTATTAACTCTTTAAAAAACTTGTATTTAAACTAATTTCTGTGTAATAAATGTATTTTGCTAACGTATTTTGTATTCCCCACAAGTGCACCATGTATAAAGTTAGTAAATAATTCAAAATACTGATACATGCATGATTTCATACTGCTTGCAGGAAATTACTAAAATTTGAAAATTGCCTTGAAAATTTGAAATACTTTTGTTTTACAACTCGAAGACGAAGTGAAAGAAATGGTTTTAGAACCGGTATATCTCACAGAAAAGCTCAGATATATTTGTACAGATGTTTGGTAGTATAGTAAGTGCTTGTTGACTGCAAATTCGTTTGTCTTTCGTTGCAAACTTTTCTGAACAATTTATATTCTCAATGAACATGATTTTTTCGCTGTTGTTTCGGTATTAATAATTCTTTAAAAAACGTGTATTTAAACTAATTTCTATGTAATAAATGTATTTTGCTAACCTGTCAAATTTTTGGGTGGAGTTTTTCCTTGTGCTATTATCTTTCTCAAAGCGAATATTTTCCTTTTTTTCTGCTTCACAAAACTCATGTAGTTTTTGGACCGCCATCTTCTTTTTCGCTACTCGCCGTATATGAGCTGATATACGGCGAGTAATTCAACCAATCAGATTACAGAACGGCTCATATACGGTGAATGACTATCTTATAAAAACACGTACTAAATCGACATGATTTGCCGAAGTGAGGTTTTCCAAGACGTAAATGTGGCCACATAAGTCTATGGTCGACGTTTCGTACGGTCCCACGTCTATGCGGCATATTCGAGGTAGACAATATTTTGTTTTTAGCTGCATTTAAAGGCTCAACAACTTCTTTAAACCTGTTCCCGAACGCCTTGAAACATATCATTTTGATGCCGCTGATTCGTCGAAATTTAGTCCACCAAGTCGCTAAACTCGGCTAGCATAAACAAGCAAAATATTGGCCTCCACTTCGCTTCTTGCCGCCATTTTACATTCCTGAGTTGTTTTGATTTGTTACTACTACTAGTTTAACAGGGTCTATACCGCTGTATTATTTTTAAATTTGCTCGTATATTCATAAAAACAAGCGCTATTTGGCGCGGCAAATTTAGTATATTTGGATTCCTTTTGAGATTTCAATAATAAAGGGATTACTGTTGGCATGGCAGTATTAGTATTTATGTTTATTTTTGTTTGATTATAGCCAGCTATATAGTGCTTTGTACAGGAGCGATTGCAGTATACCCGTCCACTTTTGAAGACCTCACTTGTTATCATGATAAGATGATACGAAGTGAAGATGATTACGTAATAATTGTATACTCACGCTATTATAAAAGCGTGGGTATAAGCTATATTTTTGCGTTATTGCCTGTCATGATAACAAGTGAGGTATTTAGAAGGGGATTGGTATTCTGCAATCGCTCCCCTTAATTTATATGGAATGGAACCGCCAGTTTGAATTTTAGAGATTTTGAGCCCACAGGTCTACCCGCTGGCTGACCTGGATTTCTGGCCATGTTACAACTTTTACGACACATCGAGAACTATTTACATATAGGCGACTACCCTTTGGCATCAATGCAGCAAATGAAGTTTTTCAAAATGCATGCAATTGGAAGAGCTATCCAAGGACTAGACGGTGTTAAAAACATTGCAGATGACATAATTGTCTGGGCAATACACAGCAACAACACGATCAGAGGGTAGAACATTTACTTACAAGGCTTCAGGAGAAAAACTTTACAGTCAAACCTGAAAAATGCCTGTTAAACCAGACAGAACTTTGGTTTTATGGATTGCATTTGACATCAAATGGTCTCACGGCAGATCTGAGCTAGGTCGATGCTATAAAGAATACAGCCAAACCCAGAGATGTGAAGGAATTAAGAAGTTCTCTCGGACGTCTATCCAATCATTGTGGCAAATTCATACAGAATTACTCAACCTTAACAGCACCACTACGGGAACTAACTGCCAAGAATACTCAAGTTTGAATGGAAACCAGTGCATGGAAAATCATTTTATGCAATTAAGCAAGCTATTCAGAAGGATTGCATTACGCACTATTACAACCCCAAGCAAAGAACCGTGCTCAGTGCTCACAGTTGATGCAAGCCCAGTGGGGCTTGGGGAAATGTTATCAAATGTTGACTCACATGCAAGGTAACATTCATAAGGTCGCTTATGCCAGTCGGTCAATGTCTAAAGTTGAACAGAAATATTCACAAACCGAACGCAAGACTCTCGCAGTGGTGTGGGGGAGTGAAAAATTTAATTTGTACTTGGTGGGCACAAAGTTAACCATTGTAACTGATCATAAAGCTCTCGAAGTTATCTACAATACCAAGTCCAAAATGCCTGCAAGAATTGAGCGATGGGGTCTGAGGTTGCAACAGTATGATTTTGACATTCAACACAGACCAGGTGTTGGAAACTTAGCAGATCTAGACGTTTCGGCAAGACAACCTTTACAATAATGTTCAGAAAAGAGTGCTAGCAATGTAGCAGATCAATATGTCAATTTTGTGGAGCAACTGAACAACACTCTGTCCCCGATGCAATGAACATCAAGGATATCATGGTGGCTATCAAAAAAGATCACCAATTACAGAATGCCATATCAAACATTCATTCGTGAAAATGGAGGTAAGTGATCTATTTTCTGTCAGACATGAACTATCAGTGACCAGTACTGGACACTCTTGCGAGGTTCACAAATTGTTATGCTATATCTAAGTTGAGAATGGAAACATTAAAACATGCTCATAAAGGGCACCAAGGAATTGTAAAGACTAAGCAAGCTCTAAGAACAAAAGTACAGTATGGTGGTCCAAAATTGAAAAGATTTAAAGGATTATGTGCAACGATGCCATGCTTGTCAGTGTCTTGGGCAAGCAGACCCACCAGCACCAGTAAAATTTAACCAGATGCCAAGCAAACCTTGGGAACGCCTTCATATGGCTTTTTAGGACCATATACTATGGGATAAATGTTGCTAGTCGTCACTGATGCATACTCCAAATTCAACATAAGTCAACAACCCCTAATTAGCAAGTCATCACAAGATTGGAAAAAATATTTGCGGCTCATGGATTACCATTAGAGGTACGTACTGACAATGGTTCGCCGTTTAATGCAAAAGAGTTTCACCAACACATGAAAGACCGAGGCATCCTTTATCGAACTGTTACTCCATTATGGCCGCGAAGCCTCTTAACAAAGCCATACGAGCAGCTCAGTTGGAAGGCTGTGACTGGCGAGGAGAGATTTATACTTTTTTACTAGCCTACCGTACTATTCCACAGTGTAGCACTGGTGTAGGCTAGAACCTGCACAGCTTTTATTTAAGCGCGAAGTTTGAAGAACCATTCTAATGTCACCTGAAAAGTGAAAAACCTGAAAAATTACAAAGAGCTGCACAGCAAAGCAAAAGAAAATGTTGAGAAGAAGCAACGGAAGGCAAAAACATACGTTGAAGAGAAGAGCAAGAGAACCACGTATTTCAGTTGAAGATAAAGTTCTGGTTAGACAACAGTACCGTAACAAGTTAACATCGTTATTTGATCCAAAACTGGCCTTTGGTCGTGATCAAAGTGGATGGGACAATGCTTACAGCATCAAGAGCGGATTATTTAGTTACCAGGAATATCTCTTTAATACTTCAAGAAACACCTTCGCAGTGAAAACGATACATTGAAAACCAAGCATGGGGTGAATAGGTTTTTGGATCGTCGAATTTCACAGAAAAAATTGTTCGGATTTCGGATCTGGCAAATATTTTACACGGTTTGCGGATCTTATCAATACAGCGGATTGCCAATTGATCTAATATTTTGGCTTGGATTGTGGATTTTGCTTGCAATTTACCTTATTATAGGAAATTAACGATGCACTTTATTAACGCGACATAAATTAACGCGACCTCAAATTAACGCGGATTGCTTCTAGGTCTTTTAAAACATGATTATATTAACGCGAATCTGATCTCCATGGTGGACAAATTAATTAAGTTAACGCAAATCGGAAAATATAGACAAAACAACAACAAAGGTTTAATGTTAAGAGGAGCACTGATGTTTTTAGTTTACGTTAATATACTGTATTTTGATATTAAAAGAGTTAGTGTTATATAGAATAAAATCTAGGTATTTTTAAGGCCAATGAAAACTGATATCATTTTTCTCGTCCCCGCCCGCATGGGATTTATCTGCCGCACGAAAATTTTTCATTATTCATTATTTTTGAAAAATAGGCTTCAAGGAAATTATTGACAAGCACAAATCAAATACAAAAAATAATAAAAAAGGAAAAAATCCCGCTCCAAATTTTTGAAAATTGTGGACGAGAAACATGATATCAATTTTCATTGGCCTAACTAACGATAAATGAAAATTACATACTTAAAATTAACGATCACATAAATGAACATAAATTAAATTAACGCGAATTTTTAAAATCCGCGTTAATAAAGTGCATCGTTAATTCATTCCTATAATAAGGTAGTTCGGATCCTGGATTATATTGTGACTTCATAGTAGAGCTTTTAGCGGATTCAAATTTACACCCGTTTTACAATTACGCGACCTCCCTGAAAAATACTCTTTGCCAAGCCAATACTCATAAAACTGACATTTGAAGTAATACTTCAAATGTCAGTTTTATGTCACAAGAACTGCTAAAAATAGCAAACGTAAACAAACTGTCAAAAGACGTTTTAAACCGTATTTAATACCAAAACTGAACAAAAATGAGTTATATAACTTAGATATACAAACCAAAGCACAATACAAACCATCACAACAGAAATATGTGCCGTAAATAACTTTTAAGGTTTGAAAAATAACAATTTATCTTGGAATTGTAGTCAGTATAAAACACGCGCGCTAGACTATAACGCGGATGTTATGATTTTGTTGTGCTTACCGATTTTGCAATAATTCTAATTAAAATATCTTGAAAATCATTGTAAGCCTGTTTATATGAAGCATACAAAGCATATACATCGGCAAGGAACCGCAAAACTTAAAGTTTGAACTTCGTGACCGAATGACATAAAACTCATGTCAACTCTAGTATTTTCGTCCTTGGTCGCGTAATTTTGAAAACGGGTGTAAGCAAGACCATTGTCGGACCACGGATTCCCGCTTCAAATTTGGGCGGATCGGCGTATTTGTACACCCTAGTCACCCCCGCCCCCCATTAGTGTGATGAAAAAGATAAAGACGCATTTATTTGCCCTGATGAAATATATTTTGAACAATATAGATGTAAACATTTCTGCGACGACTTTCCTTGAAGGGGGGAGGGGGGCTGAATGCCTCTCTTTCGGTCACTTGTTAAGAGCATAGGCACCAGCTAATTTGGTAAAACTGACTACCTTGCGGTTTACTCAGAAGGTAGAGAACAACTTTGACATAATAGGGAACAACTTTGAATTTCGCTATATGTTGTCGCATACCCAGGTAGTAGAAATACATGCGGGCAGCAACCCCTTGCAACTAAAACTTGCACCCGGGCTAGCCCGCTCGTGAGTGGTTATATGGAGAAATTTCCAACCCTGTAAGCGAGATCTCTCCTCTTCCTAATAAATTCCTCTTCTGGCTCTATTCAAACGAGGTCTCGCCGACCTGGCCAGTCTTCTTGTCCATATAAACAACGGTTTACTATAAAAAAATAACTACACCGCGAGATCTCGCTTACCGGGTCGGCCAGGCTTCATATAAACAGCCCTATCAATAACTTTGATCTAAGTAAGTTGAAACACGTCTGCGTTCTAACAAGTCTGCGTTCAGTTTACCACCCATCACATGTGAGTTTGTTGAAAATTACGTGTTGAAGATACCATCTAGTAAAGCAACTGGAGCTGATGGCATTAGTGTGAAACTGCTTCAAGCAGGCATCAAGGAGTTGGCAACATCAATATCTAGGTTAATCAATAAATTATTATGTCTTTGACTAGTAATCAATTTCCCTCAAGATGGAAAATAGCTAGAGTCACTGCGCTATTTAAGACTGGCGAAATTTCTGATCTTAACAACTATCGACCTATCTCTATTTTACCTGTGCCTTCAAAGATCATTGAACGACATGTACACGACTGTCTGTTCTACTATCCCACTATAAATAATCGGATATACTCCAATCAATCCGGATTTCGAAGCGAATTTGGCACGGAAACTGCTGTTGCATTTATCATTGACTCTCTTTTACTCAACCTGGATAAAAATCTCATTAATGGCATGGTCCTAGTCGACTATAAGAAAGCCTTTGATATGGTTGATCACTGTATCTTGCTTGATAAACTTGGAGCATGCCATCTTGATCAGAGCTCGCTTGATTGGTTTAAATCCTATCTATCAGACCGTAAACAATATGTTAACTTCAAAGACCAGTCTTCTACAACAAAAGTAATCACGGACGGAGTACCACAGGGTTCTATCCTTGGGCCGCTATTGTTTCTCGTTTTTATCAACGATTTACCTCTTCATATCAACACTCAAGTAGATTTATTCGCTGATGACACTACCTTACTCGCTGCCACTGATTATAATGATATTAATGAACTTAATGAGAAATTATCTCCGAAAGTCTCTAACGTTGAAAACTGGGCCATTACCAATAAATAAACTGCCTCTCAATACCACTAAGACCAAAACCATTCTGATTTCTGGTAAACGTCTTAAAGCAAAGCTTACACCTGAAAATCAAACTCTCGATATTAAATTGAACGATGATTTGAATTTATTAAATTTGCCACTGAAAAAGACGTACTTTACATATACAAAAAACTACTAAATTACCCTAGTAAGTAAAATGGCAGGGTCACCACAACAGCAGTTGCCAATTACCGTGGGCCCTATAGAACAAGCGCACACTGTGAAATTACTGGGCTTTAATATTGATGAACATTTAAACTTTGACACTCATGTTGAAATAATGGCAATGAAACTATCGAAACGTATATATTGGAATATTGAAGTCTATAAAATCCTACCTGCCTCGAAACGAACGTATTCTTTTCTACAATGCTATGATCAAACCTCTGTTTCTCTATTGTGGTATAACCTGGACAAACTGTGGTAAGAACAATACCACAAAAATTTTCAAACTTCAAAAACGCTGTGCCAGAATTATCCTGGCTTGACGCTGAACCTCGCCGATTAATCTATTTAATAATCTTAATTGGTTGGTTACCTTTTTACGTAGAGTCGGATATCAGAAAAAGTATTATGATCTACAAGCGTACTATTAATGCTACTCCAGAGTAAATTAAACAGACTATTAAATTTAAATAGCCAACAACATTCGAGGAACACTCGCGGTGCTGATTTAAGTTTAGTAACTCCGAAATACAATAGAGCTACAGATGTTGTATAAAATATTATAGACAATAGATATATTCCCTAATTTTTGTAAATTTTATGAGGGCCACAAGTTCATTAGTACTTCGTACTATTAAGTATCACCTCTTTAAATAAAGTCTCTAGTACCTAAATCAATTTTACTAAAATAGGACTCTATCCAGCTAAAATTTTGAGATCAATGATACGAACGCGCGGGGCCTAGGGATGAAAAACATGAGTCACGTGACTTGTTGATTCATTTTGAAAGTGACTACGTTTGAATTTTTGAAACCGTCAAACAGGAACTTGATTGAAACTAATTATTTTGGCAAGAAACTTCACGGAAAACTGTTTCAATTTGCTTGAGAAATCATGGATTGTAGAACACAAGCGCTTGAAGTAATCTATTTGGTTTAAGTACCAAGATTTAGGGCGAGAACAACCGTTTTTGTAGAGTTTTCACGGCGAAGATCGAGTCGAAAATATGGTGATTATCAAAGGGGAATGTGACAAGCCAGGGATCTCAGCTGCCAAACAACTAGCTGAACACGATGACATGTGTATCAACCTTACTGTAGACGTTTATCTTGGCTTTGTAACACACAAAATGAGCGGAAGATTTCGCCCTATCAAGGCAGATCATGGCGTGATCACACAAGCTTTGACAGATCTCGAAACAAACGGGGATATAGAAGCAGTATATAGACAGATTATCACAGAGACTGGACAATGGAGTACTCATTATTTTTTAAACAAATCTAGCGTACAGAGGGATGCATTCAAAGATCATGTGAGTTCTATAGTTTTTGTAAAGTTTCATATGTTTATATATATATATATATTGTCCTTCTCGAAGATTACATAATGTTTGATATTTCGAAATAATCATGTGATATATTTTTTTTTTTTTTAGAGTCATGAACTTCTCCAGATAGAATGAAGTAGTGTAAAGCCTACGTTAGTTCTTTTTTCTAGGATTTTTGAATTCCCCACCCGCATTGAAACAAAGAAAGCCACCCGGTTGCAGGGGCATTATTCACCAACCGTTACTACACACAAACATCAAAATTTCACAAATGTTGAACTTTGTATAGGCATTCACAAACCGATTGAACTTGTTCACAAACACTATAGAAGGCCATGTTAAATGAGGCATTCTTGCAATCCAGTCTCAGATCTACAGGCATGTAGAAGCATGTACTAGTGTGAAATGTTCTGGAAATAATCAAGTAAATTCACACTTGCACACTAAATGTGTGCAGGGTTCGAAATAGCTGCCGGCAAAAACCGGCAGTTTTAGGACCTTGCCGGCGATTTTTAATTTAAAAGCATATAGGGGATTGGCGAAAATATTTATTCACCGATGACTCGCTTACGATAAAACGGACAGATACACAGAACTCCTACACCAAATATTAATGAAATGTATTGCTGTGTTTTTACAAATGTTGTGTTGGTTCACATCACTATTATTTGGCCTATAACTAAACTTCGCTTGGAAAATAGCCGGCAAAAATGTTCACCTACAAAAAACAGCCTACAAAAAACAGCCTACAAAATTTGACATATTTTCAGAACGTTATTTTGAACCCTGGTGTGGGTGGCACTAACAAGTTGTCAAAATGGATGTTATGCTATATTTTAACCATTTAAGTGCCAGCATTCTCTAGGGGTGCACCGGATTTCAAATCCGGACGGAATTCTGGCCGGATTTAACGAATTTTCCGGCATCCAGCCAGATTTGGAGAAAATCCGGCCGGATTTAAATTTTTGTTTTCACCTTAAAAAATTCACCAACAATGGGATAAACCATCAATTTGGCAGCTTTAAGGTTTACAAAACACTTATGTTATTATAAAATATTAAGTTATTAACAAAAAGATATTTAAAAAAGGTTTAAACATGATCAAAAATCTAAACTGACACTAACTAAAAATAGTAAAAAACATAAACTGCCATTTTGAATACTGATTTATCCACAATTGTCCCCATTACCGCTTTGTTTCAAATCCGGCCGGAATTTTTGTCCAAATCCGGTAAATCTGGTTCCGGCCGGATTTGAAAATTCCAAATCCGGTGCACCCCTAGCATTCTCCCCTTGAGAAGTAAAGTTGTCTGGTGTTAGACAGAGTAAAATAATAAAGTAGGGCACATCAGGGCATAATGCGGTTAACTAGACACATTGGCAGATAGGCCAGTTAACCCATTAAGCGGTAGCGCTCTTCCCCTGACGAATAAAATTGTCTGGCATTAGCCCAGGGCTTAAAGTAGAGAAAAAAAATATGGCCTGACAGTCTAAATTTTTTTTGACAGGTGAAATAAATTTTAGCCTGTCATTTTTATTCATTGGACTGCCAAAATGGTGATGTCTCAAAAGAGTCATACTTCTTTTTTATTAGGGGTGCACCGGATTTCAAATCCGGCCGGAATTCCGGCCGGATTTAATGAATTTTTCTGGCTTCCGGCCGGATTTGGAGAAAATCTGGCCAGATTTAAATATTATTTTGTTTTCAGCTTAATTAAAAAATTCACCAAGAATGGGATAAACCATCAATTTGGCAGCTTTAAAGTTCAAAAAAACCTTATATTATTATAAAATATTAAGTTATTAACAAAAATATATTTAAAAAATGTTAAACACAATCAAAAATCTAAACTGACACTAACTAAAAATAGTAAAAAACATAAACCGCCATTTTGAATACTGAATTATCCCAATTTATCCCCAATTGTCCCCGGTTTTATCTCAAATTCGGCCGGAATTCCAGTCGGAATTTTTGTCCAAATCCGGTAAATCCGGTTTCGGTCGGATTGGAAAATTCCAAATCCGGTGCACCCCTAATTTTTATTATTTTTAAACAGTTTGTCTATTTTACTACAGTTAATTAACTTGGATTTTCATTTCAAATATAAATGTATTTACTCAACTAAATGATCAAGTACAGTATATATGAGTTGTGGTAAGCAAATGTAATTAAATATATCTATAGAATTTCACCTGCCATTTTTTTTTTTTGACTTGGCATTGGGTCGTTCCAGAAAAGATCCATACTCCCCCTACGGAGGAAATTTCTGCCGTCCGGAGGGGGAGGGGAGTAAATATTGTTTCTGATAATAGTAAATGTAATAGGACATCCTAAGGGGGTAGGGGGGTTAACTTCCTATTTCCTCCGTGGGGGTGGTGTGGATGTTTTCTGGAGCCGCTATTTGCATTAGACAGAGTAAAATAATAGAGTAGGGTGCATTAGGTAAATGCCATGCCAAAAGAATGAAGGCACTACTTCTAGAAGGTATTATATAATACCTTATTAAATTCTAATCGTTTAATTGGCTGTTTATGGTCACGTGATATTGAATAGAAAATTCCATTTCCCAAGAGTGCAATGGAACACGTTCCATTGCACTCTCCGCGAGAATAAAACGTATAGTACAATTGCACTCTTCGTGTTTTCGATAAATTGCATCCCTCAAAATGCTTCTCATACGAATCTATTAGTCTGTTCTGGACTTTTGGTATTATATAAAACAAATAATGAATGTTTCTTCGTGCAATGGTAAGAATATTTTCACTCAATGAAAGATGGAATGTTCCATTCAACTCGGCTGTTGCCTCGTTGAATGGAACATTCCATCTTTCACCTCATGAAAATATTCTTACCATTGCACTCATAAACATTCATTATTTGTATATTATATCAGGGGGATTCATGCTCACCCAGAAAATTTTGAAAATCAAGTGTCTCAGATCCGCTAAAAATTCACACGGTATACACCCCAAAATTGCCAATGTACAACATTTGTTCCATCATTCTATTGTCTATACATATATAAACTCTCACATGCACTGGATGTATGCACTTATAACTGCATTTCTGAGGTCATGTCTACAGTATAGATTACATTTCTTTCTATTGCTTAGCATTTCCTCTCAATTTCTCCTTTTATCTTAATTATATTTCTTTCTTGGCAAAATATTTTATGTTCTTGGAGCAATGATCTCGGATACTTTTCCACCCATGAGCATTACTTAACTTGCTATCCAAACTGAAAATCTGTTATCCAAATTCTCAAAATTAAACATGCTTTGAGTCTGTATATTATTGAGTTGTCATGATCTCAAAACTAAATGTGAGATGTTAATCCAATTATCTGATCACACAATTCAATGTTTAGCCACAGCATTAACAACAATGTGACTGTCTTCGTTAAATTTTGGCCACTCCCCTGGCCAAAGGTCGTTCAGGGGATGGGCTATTTTTTATGATAAAGCAAAAAATACTAAGAGACAAAATCACATACAGTAATTTGAGCAATAAGATCATGTTAATAAGCCAACTGCGAACAATGATTATAATTAAAATACAATATGTTGATGGGTAGGTGGCACACATGACCTTTGCACCAGAGCTGGCAGAGCACCCCCCTCCCCCAGATCATGCTGGATCCATCCCTGTATATGGAAATGAAAATGACTTAGGTAAGAACTTAAATCCAAATGGGACACCGATGTTTCAATATGACATCCAAAATTTGAGACTGGTATTGTCAAGAAACTGGGATACTGAAAATCTCTGGCCCTGTTGGCTCTCTGGCTCATTCCAGAAAACAATGACACCTTCCTCATAGACAGAGTTATTCCCTCATCCCTTTTTGCAATATTTACTGACCATGTTTAATAGGTGCTTCTGTAACATTTTATTTTCAAATTTTGATCGGTTTGACTATTTTCCTGTTCTGTGGCCAAATTCCATTTATCAAAACACCAACTGTCAAGCCCTGAGTTCTGTTTCCTATTGCCAATATGGACTATCTCAGGCCCAGTTGCTCAAAAGGTTGGCCTGGTCCCGCTCCAACCTGGTTTGGCTGCTTGCTTCGCATTATTTTTGGTTACCTCCAAAAAAACAAATATACTGTCAAGCATGCTCTTACTGTATGTTGCTAGTCGATTGTATGTTAGTTTAAATTGGTTTCTTTCCATTTTCCTCAAATAACCGAAAAGAAGTGTATCGAATCATTGAGAATAAATTGCAACTGGTAACCATGCACTGAAAGGGAAAACGAAAACCTATAACACTCGTGTTCAAATTTTTCAGTGCCATGTTGATAATCATCTCAACTTTCAAAATGGGCTTGAAATAAGGTTCTCCAAGTTCGTGATCATGGTGATCAGCAGTCATTACTTTCCCTGCTATTTCTCATTGAAAACTTTGCTTTTCCGCAGATCATGAACGATTGCTGATCATTTGCTGATAATACGAACAGTAAACTTTATTTAAAGAAGGCACAATACTCGATAGATATATACCAGTGCCAGTGGTAAAGCTTTTTGTCTCATTGTTTGTTTAGTTCGCAGTATCCAAAGCTTACTAGTCTAATAACTCGTTTTATCACTGACGGGTTTATAAACATATCACAGACGTATCTGGGTACCAAATTGTTGAAAGATTTACATTTATTTACCACTGCATGTTGCCGTTCTTAGCATGATTATTTGCTGTATCCAGCAGTTATAAATAGTGGTCCAGAAGATGTTAGTTTCCGGAGATCATTGGCCGGTGATCGCTATACTACTGTATATCTAGGATGTTATAAAGATAACATCAGAATTATAAATTTCATGTAAGAATTATAAATTTAAAGTCGGAATGTGAAACTTGCTACGGATTTCGTCGAACTGAGACTACAGTAGATCCGTTGGAACAATTGTAACGTTTTCGTCACTTTAAACACGACGTATCAACTACTTAACTAATTATTTTAATTATTATTTTACTTTGTGTAACGCCCGGCGATTTTACTCATCAAGAGCGGGGGGGGGGGCGCTGGCGCTTGATGATGTGGTTATGGTTTTTAGTACTTTGGTAAAGTTTGCTGGTCGTGCAAGCAAAATGTGAGTACGGAGACAGTGAGTGTACAATAAAGCACCAGACTCTAATATTTGCGTCTTTTGGAACGTATGTGCAAATTATCGCATCTTGCAAGGGGCTACTTTCGAAAAGAATAATAGAGAACTTTAGAGATTTTACTAGCGACTACGAGATTTCTTTTTGCACATGTTCCGTACGCCATTACGGATTTCTAAGTCATCAGTACTTGATTGCGTAACAAGATGGTAAACCATTACAGTAACTACAGCAAGGGTGTTTACCAACTAAACACTGAACTTCGTTATGCCATTATAATACGATAGTGAAGTGGAATTTTGTATTTTCTAGATAATGAAATATCTTGGTTTGTTCATGCCTGACTCTGGAGTTCAAGTAGTCTCGTGTAGTCGTTATTCTACTGAGAAGAAAGGTGCCAAGGTCATATCAAGACAATCATGGTAAGATATCGTGAAATGGTTCAATGTTTGTGAAACTCGTGCCAATATAAAGCAACCTTACTTACCAGGTTGCGATAATTCAAAATTTTTAGTCGTACCTGACTGGTACTCCAATGACTATTGCCGCGTACTTGAGCTGGTACACACTTAAAGCTCAAGGTGTACTTAGTATTTAAGACGACTTACATAATGTACTGGGGCCGGTTGTATAAAAACGTAGTTAGCGCTAACTGCAGTTAAAAAGTAGTTAAAAAGTGGTTAACTTTAATCACGTAGTTAAGACGGTTGTATAAAAGTATAGTTAGCCTTAACTGCAGTTAAAAAGTAGTTAAAGTTAACTATGCTTTAGGGTATAGTTAACTGTCCAAAACGTAGTTAAAAATGGCGTTTGTATAGGAGTGAACAACATTTTTCAGTAAAACAAGAATGAAAAGCAACGCTTACCTGGGATTTTCAATCGCTATCTTCCCTGTGAATGTTTCCTGACAATATAAACTCTTCAAATGCTATCGCTTTGGTGTTTTTACGAAAACAGAACATATTTTTGCACAGGAGGATTTCTCGAAGAAGAAGTATGGCAGTGTAGATTATAACGGTCGGCAGTCGGCTATTTGCCAAACAAAAACACCGAATGGCCGATCAATTTCATTCTGCACGGACATTTTGACCGATCAAATAAAATAGACAATGTTCATTTAAATTGAAGGTAGCTTATATAAAAAGTACTGTTTGAAAAGCATACTATACCTATTGTACCATGCAATCAATAAATATTTGGATGAAAATTGAAAAAAGCATTCAGAGGAAACATTGTCATTGAGCTTCTCTTTTAGCAAATACTCTCTCAAGTGACCGAATCTCGATAGTAAGTCTATAGCGTTTCCAATACTTACTACTTACAAAAAGAGGTTTTATTTTTTCGTAAAAATGGTTGAAATAGTTGGCCGACCATTCTTTGCCAATGTCCGAGCAACAGTCTTGTTGATCGGACATTTGTCAGACCTAAGCAAAAACGTTATAATCCACACTGAAGTATGGTCCATTACACCAAGAAACACTGATATATAATTGCCAAACAGCTATGCCTTGGTTTAACGTAGACATCTCAAGGAAAAACTGCATTCTTTTATGATTTTTGTGGCGGTTTTTCTTTATTTTTGTTTATTTTTCACTGTTTTCTAGTGTTTTGAATAAAATTCCCGCCTATTTGCAAAATACGAGTCCACAATCGTGTTGAAAATGTGTGTCAGCGGTCGTTACTCGCTGCTTACTTTATGTAATTTTCTGTTTAAACACCCCACGCACAGTTAACTACGTGATTAGTTAACTATCCGACTAACTACGTTTTGTGCAACGCAGTTAAGTCATGTAGTTAACTAATTACAGTTAAGGATTTAACTACAGTAATTAACGCTAACTACAGTTAGCGCTAATTACGTTTTTATACAACCGGCCCCAGGTTTTCCGAAAGGTATTCATTCAGTAACCTGAAACTAGTAGTTCACAAACACTACGATCCACTCTAACATTCCTTAGTCTCATCATATCAGTCCAATCATGTTTAATGCAAAGTCATGCTAGACTTGCACATATGCCGACTAAATTATGGTTTTCAATAACTTGGGCTTGGACAGATCAAATGGTATAGCAAAAAGTTAAGTACGCAGATGAGATTAAGTGTTCGCGTACCTACGTGGTACGTACCTGACAAAACAGAAGTACCAGACCGTAATATTGGCGTACAGTGCCTCCGGTAAGTATGGAAATTATCGCACCCTGGTTTATTTATCTCGTGCAAACGTATCTTTCGGCAAGTCTTTGTGAGTTACAGTAACTTGAAAGAGAAAATCATCCCTGTTGCAGAGATCTTGCTTGTAACAGAATCCAGGCAAACCTAGTTGCCCATATTTGAAACACGAAATAATTTGATGTTTGTGATGCTACTCTATGAGTGTATACCCAGTACCCACACCGGGCAAGCTTGAAAAATATGCCTGGCCACGGTGGGAATCGAACCTACGACCTTTGGAATACTAGCCCAAATGCTCTGCCAACTGAGCTACGCGGTCAGGTCGGTTCAAGTATGTGATGATTGCAATCTAGTAATCATTGATTTTTTTATGTGTTGGTGTTATGTACTCACGTGAATATGATGTTTGTGATGTTATCCTGAGTGTATATCCACACCGGGCAAGCTTGAAAAATATCCGTGGCCAGGCATATTTTTCAAGCTTGCCCGGTGTGGATATACACTCAGACAAACAAACATCATATTCACGTGAGTACATAACACCATGGATTGTAAAATAACTGGATAGGAAACTTCCTGACGTCACAGTCTAAACCTAGTTGCAATCTGTGACGTCATGTGTATTGCGAAAATGTTCAGCATTTTTGTTGTTTCGCTATATTTTCCGCTTCAAAAGAGTAATATTGAAGCATAAACTGGTCTAATTCTTTTAAAAACATGCCTAAGCCACGACAAAGTATTCAAGGTAAGTGTTTTTCGTCTTTGTTTTGTATTTTTTAACATTTGTAGCTACGAAATTGGCGTCGCCAATTTTTACGAAATTTGCGATGCATTTTTCAGTGTTTAGTGCTTGAAATATTTGCTAAAATTGACCGGGAATACTTAGAGATTTCATCGTAGAATGGCTTAGTCATGTTTATTTGCTCTTTGACTAAAATGTTTAGCTGTATTATCGCTAAACATGCCGTTTTTGAGAATTTTGGTTTGCAACTAGGTTGCAACGCCATCATCCCATTGAAAACATTAGGTCACGTCAGCTAGTTTCCTAATATCCATGTATTTTATTGTCCATGATAACACCAACACATAGAAAAAAATCACGAAATAATTTTTACATTAAAAATAAGCTGTATCAAGTATCCCCGTTCAAGTCTTCTAAGGCCAAAAAAAATATGTGGGTTTCCGGTTTCCCGACCCTACCTATAGCTTTTGGACGTCGAAATCCCGACCCTAAACTTTTTTATTGGATCATGCTTGTAAGTGTTTCCACTTAGAGGAAAAAGTTTGTGGAAAATTGAAATTTGAGGCAATATTAGGTAAATTTATCTTTGGATGTGGAAGCACTGACTTAACAAAATGGCGTCCGCTTGTTCGAAAATTGAAATTTGAGGCAATATTAGGTAAATTTATCTTTGGATGTGGAAGCACTGACTTAACAAAATGGCGTCCGCTTGTTCGAAAAATTAAAAAAAAAGTTAAAAAAAAGTTAAAAAAAAGTTAAAACCGACCTACCCTACCTAAGTAAAGTTAAAACCGACCTACCCTACCTAAGTTTTTATAAGAAGAAACCGGAAACCCACATTTTTTTTTTTGCCTAACCGACTTTCTAGTTTCTATTGACTCTAGTGTTTTTTAAATGTTGTTGTCGTTGTCAGCGTCGTCCTATTTTTCGTTACGTTGGTTGTTTTCTTTGCAACCCAATGTTATGCCAAAGTGACGTAGATATCACAGTTATTGTGGAGCATCATTTATCTGAGATGCATGGCTGAAAAATGTCTGACAGAACCACTTGAAATTTTATTTTCATCTTAGACTACGTTATACAGTAGAGCAAACGTTTTCGTTACGAATCTGGAGTATTTTTATATCGCATTCGTCTTGCCGTTTTCACTGATGAGCATGAATCCTGATGAAGATTGTCATAGTGATATAAAAGTCTATATCCCGAAATTTCGAATCCGGAAAAGTCTGTGGGAACTCTGTATCCGGAAAAATATGAATCCAGAAAAAATTCTCGTGTAAACGCTTTCCATAAAGAATCCGAATCAACTTGCTTCCGTGCATGTTTTTCAAATTGAAGCTATTAAAGTCAAGCGCTAAGTATAGGTAATGGTGTGGATATACACTCACAAGCATCATATTGAGTAACATCACAAGCATCATATTCACCTGAGTACATTACACCAACACAGAAAAAATCATGATTACAAGATTACATTGATATCGAAGGAACTAGATTCTGTTCCGAAATATCACATATACGATACTCGAACCGACCTGACCGCGTACTGTAGCTCAGTTGGCAGAGTAATGGGCTAGTATTCCAAATGTGCGTAGGTTCGATTCCCACCGTGGCCAGGCATAAGTTTCAAGCTTGCCCGGTGTGGATATACACTCAGAGTAACATCACAAGCATCATATTCACCTGAGTACATTACACCATGGATAATAAAATATATGGATAGGAAACTAGCTGACTAGACCTAATTATTATTATTATTATTAGTCTTTAATGAAACAGAAGATAAAAATACATATCTTAAGTTACAATTCATATTACAGTATATGCATTATTTACACTTTGCTAAAAAGAAACTTACAATGTTTAATCATATTGTAGTTCATACTATATACATTACTCATTCGTTCATACTGTATGTCTTGCTATAGAGATAACTTGCAATGTTTAATCAATAACTAAGTCATAATTGTATACCAAACGGTTTACAAACACGTTTTTAAAACGTTCCGTTCTAACTTTCGGCCTATGACTTCTTCTTTTTCTTAAGTTGTAGCCTGTTTCTTTAGCGTGTGGCATTAGTGACAATAATGGATGCTGCCAGAGTTTAGATACTCTATTAAATATGGTTCGATCTTGTTTTTCTAAAAGCTTATACACACTAACTGGCTTTGACGTATATTTCCTTTTATAGCAACGTTTAAGAAAGACTTCAATAGGAGTTAAATCGGATTTGGAAGCGGCATAAACAGATAATGCGTATGTTATGTTTGGTAATACCAGAGTATCAAACAATAGATCTATCTCTTGTTGTGAATAACCTTCCTTTCGCAATGATCGTAAGATATAAAGACACTTATTTGCCTTGATTAATTTGTTTTTAACATGTTCGCCAAATTTGCCATCACACTGGAATGTAACTCCCATCACTTTCACTGCTTTACACATTGGAATCATTGCTATTGGTGAGAAATGTTTTCAATGGGCTGATGGCGTGGTTGGATGTTGAAACCTAGTTGCAAATCAAATTCTCAAAAACGGCATGTTTAGCAATAATACAACTAAACATCTTAGTCAAAGAGCAAATGAATATAACTACGCCATTCTACGATAAAATCTCTAAGTATTCCAGGTCAATTTTAGCAAATATTTCAAGCACTAAACAGTGAAAATGCATCCCAAATTTCGTTAAAATTGGGGACGCCAATTTTGTAGCTACAAATGTAAAAAAAAAATACAAAACAAAGACGAAACATTTACCTTGAATACTTTGTCGTGGCTTAGGCATGTTTTTAAAACAACTATACCAGTATATGCTTCAATATTACTCTTTTAAAGCGGAAAGTATAGCAGAACAACAAAAATGCAGAGAACTTTGCAATACGTGTGACGTCACAGATTGCAACTACGTTGTTTTTACTTACGTCAGCTAGAGTCCTATCCATTTATTTTATTATCCATGATTACACCAACACAGAAAAAAATATATTGAGTTTCTGTCAGCAGTTTGATGCATTTGATAGCTATAACGGTAGTTCAAAGAGGTCTTAAATTTTGTTGCCTTTACTTGTATTTAAATTCTCGCGGTATTAGACTGGGTGCAGAAATTAGGTGCGTTAACCGAAGGGATATAATGTAGGAAGCGGCATCACTACTAAATACCTGCTTGCTTTGGCTGTGGTCGTAACGGTTGTAGAGATATAGTCGCGATCTTTCTCCACGGCCACATTATAATAGTTTATACCCATAAACCAATGAATCATACTGTAAGTATTTTCTAGTTATAGTCACTCTGCCTATTTTGAGTTCTAAAATGTTGTATTTCGGCTGTTGAGAAAGATTGCGACTCTTCTTTACGACCCTTACGACCGTATGGAAGCCTCGAGTCCTGCTTCTTATAAAGATCAGTAAGGAGTTTTAGCAGCGAGTACGAGATTTGTCGAGCGAAACGCATGCTGTATGCTTACGCCATCCCGTACCATCCCAAAAGTCGTAGCCGTCGCCCATCTGAGTAGAGAATTGTGGAGAAATCTCGTAGTCCTCACTACGACTTTTCAAAAAGAACAAAACAAAGAAAGCTGGCTTTTTTGTTTTTCAAAAATAATTTGTTGCGTTTATCCGGCGGAAATAATCTATTAGTATTAAATATCTGGCTTGTTTTTAATGTTATGACTTATTTGCGGATTTTGTAGGGGATTTTGGCCTGCAGGAGATTTTGTTTATATGAACTTTTTCTTTCGTTGTTTGTCTACTTCTGTAAAAGCAACATTTGAACGGAAACGAGAACGACTACCGGTGATTTCCTCGCACGCGAGCAAATCTCGTACTCGTAGTCGCTGCTAAAGCTCCCTACTGTTTGTTTCCATCGCTACCTAGCACCTACGGTTCATAATTATATATTAGTTTGTTTGATATTATGCAGGTGTAAAGGTGAGAATATTCCCTACCTGTGTGGTTGTATCGCTGAGATGACTAGTGATGAAGAAGCAAAGTTATTACGTCCTGGTGAAAATGATTTCAGTATCATGTTTTCAACAAGAAAGAATTGTTCACAGCTGTGGCTTGGACCAGCAGCATATATCAATCATGGTATGTTTCTTTACCTTGGCCTCAGGGAGTGTATTGGGATGTTTAGGACTTAAAACATTTGTTGACATTACCTACTGTTTATTAAATAGTAAAAAAATGATGATTTATATATATATATATATATATATATATATATATATATATATATATATATATATATATATATATATATATATATATATATATATATATATAGAGCCAGGTGCGCACTGGTTAGGGCAGAACTCGATATAATTTAAGTCAAGGCGTAACAAAAATACCTGTGGTTCCGGTTTCATATCGTGAAAAAATTAGGGTCGGTGGGTCGGAAATAAATATTTTTTTTTGAATATTTTTTTCATGGTTTTGGCGGTTTTTGGCTGAGTGATTTGCAGTAGAGTCCCGACATCAATATTAACTAGAGATGCGTATTTCCTATGGACGGATTTAGGCAATTTGGTTCAATAATTAGTGTGACAACAGACGCCATTTTGGTACGCTGCATGAGCAGCCCGCAACCACCTGGAGAAAATAGGGTCGGTAGGTCAATCGCGTTGAAAAAATAATAGAGTCGGCAGAAAAAAATAGGGTCGGCCGGGAACTGGAACCACATGTAGCTATTTTTTACGCCCAAACCATGGATAGTTGGGAACAGCTGGCGTCAGCAGCCGTGACTTATTTGAAATACGTGCGAATACAAACAAGTTGGAATTTTGTCTGAGCAGGCGCTTAAATTTGCGCGGTTAACAGGAAAGAGAGACTTGGGGGCGACTAAATATAGCAATTTCATTTTTGTGCGTTTTATTGGCATTTTGGGTTTTTAATCTATTGCATTGTTAGGAAGGCCAGAAAGGTATGAGAACGTTCGGAAACTAAATAAATGTATAAAAATACAACTTTTGCGTAATTTTACAAATCGGAACTGAAATAAACTTTTAAAATTTATAATTCCTGAGTAGAAAAATGCGTGAAAGAAATTTTAAACCCACCGCGAGGTTAGTTTTTACAATCTCATCTGTCCGGGGAGCAAACCAACTTGCATTAGGCCGTCGTCTAGTGCCCCAAAATGTTTAGTTTCGTTGCACACCTCTTTAAACTAAAAGAAAATTACATATTCTTATAGATTAAGTGACACTGAATCCAAATCTAAAAAGTTCTTGCGGGTTCACCCTGCAGTTTTTTTGTAAATTGCGATCAAAATCTTGAAATTTACGAGTTTCGCAATAGCATTTTTACTATATGCCATACGTCAAAATGCGTACTCTCGGAACCAGTCACTCGCGCGCCATAGTGAAAATTATACAGGATAGGTCACTTCCGCCTCCTCTTGAGATATGTGAAATCAGATTTGAGGTAAACAATGAGCAACACGATTTTCGAGTTTCATATATTATTGCGACAAAGCGTATTTTCTGGCTTTGTACGAAGATATTTAGCACCACAAGGCATTCTTTCATGATTATGAACTTATGTGCACACTATATCATCTTTATGGCGTGTAATAAAGGACGAAACAAACTTCAATTATACATTTTGAAGACAGAGTAATGGACATAAATTTGTAGTAATTGATATATTTGTATGGTAAGCCAAAAACTATCAAATACTTAATAGTAAATATATAAAATACATATTTAAACAATACTATTATTATTAATTAATACCAATATAGTAATTAATAGCACATTAGGTTTCATCATCATCACAATCCACTGCCTTCATCTATAAAGTTATTGTCAATTAGATCTATCTCACTGTTCTCACAATTACTTGTGTGGATTTTTGTGGTTAGCCCGTTCGCGGGCTAACCATTATGTACACGCTAAAAAAAGTTGTGAAGGTTGTGAAGTTGTGACGGAGCGTGTTCGGCTTTACTTCGGAAACTGTCGTTAATGCCATGATGCGATAATAAATATTGATACAGTACACAGATATTCTGATATAGTGATACAGTATTAAATGTACAGTCAACAGATCTGCGAATGAAACATCAATATTTCATCACAAATACAGGTAAGCCAATTATTTTCCATCTCTAGTCATTTATAATGCTAAAAACATCACAAATTTTGGTCTGCTCTGGTCAAAAATATTTGGTCAGGCTCCATATTTTTGCACACATTCAAATAGTTGAACGAAGCCATTTTATCTTAGATCGGGCCATTGCATTTTTAAACCAAACCCCCCCTATTGAGGACATCCATTTTTTGGTCCCCCCTCCCCTGGAATTTCCACATTTTTTAAGCGAATTTTTTGCCTCCCCCGTGGAATTTCCGCAGATTTTTATTGAATTTTAGCCATCCCCATGGAATTTCCGCAAATTTTTTATGAACTTTTAACCCATCCCATGGAAATTCCTTGACAGTTTTTGATCTACCCAGTGGAAATTCCATATTGATTCTTTGAGTAGTAGCTATCCCTTGGAAAATTCCTTGCTGATTTTGATCCTATCCTTTGGAATTTCTTTTCCATTGTTGACCCTCCCATGGAAATTCCATACGTTTTACTAATTTTTCTTACCTACCCTTTGGAATTTCCGCAGATTTGCTTTAAAATTTGGACCCTCCCATGGAAATTCCTTCATTTTTGGTTCACTTTTGCAGGGGGCCATTGGAAATTCCACATGTCCTCAATAGGGGGGTGCAGATAAAAAATGCAATGGCCCATCAGGCGCTTATGGCATGAGGGTCCACATATTAAATAGAAGCTGAATAGAAACTGAAATATCAAATCAAATCAAACTTGCCATTGTGCAGTTATAAAACAAAACCAACCTTGCCATATTTGTGCAGGTATATTGTAAAGAGCAAACCCAGTTTGGGGATTCATATGCTACAAACTGACCTGTCAACTTGCAGGTGAACGATTTACAAACCGCAACACAAAACAACATTGACTGTTGAACTTGACTGAAAAATATGAGTGTAGCGATTGAGATCAATCGTTCAAGAATTGGTTCACACCATAAATTTACACAAGGAATTTACATTCTGGAGTCAAATGTTGATGATGTTCTGTTTAAAAGTATTTTACTTGCCATGTTTTAAAAATCTAGTGACTAAAACTGAAAAATATAATGAAGTGTGCATGTGGTATGTGCAGATGGTATGTTATCATGTTCATGTTAAATCATGTACCATTGCTATTAAGACTTTCAAAGAAATATTAATGAAATAGTTGACCGTACTTGTACAGTTCATGCCGACTTTCACCAAGGTGATCAATTAACGTTTAGATCTAATGCTGGAAAACAATGTGTTGCCATGTTACTATATTCTATTGTTTATAACGAAATTAAATCAGTTAATATTTGGGACACATCCACCATAGGCGTCGAAAGATAGCTAAGTGGGGGGGACCATATTCATATATTTGTGTTCACAGACCTTAAAAACAATCGATTTCAAAAGAAATTAATAATGCAGAACACGAATATATGAATATGGTCCCCCTCACTTATCGATCTTTCCATGCCTATGACAACAACTATGAACCAGATTTTAGTTTATGGCAACAATTTATATATTGTACATGCAAGCGAGGTTCACCTCGCATTCACATGCTAATAAGGCTTGCGAGTAGTGAAACATACTGTAGCGTATATATTGTTTTGGCCTTTGGGAACTAACTGCAGAACTAATGCAGAACTAATTACATTTGACTAAAAGGAAACAATATATGTATAGGTTATTTTGAGGCAACGAGGGGATATGTGATTTATTCACCGAGGCACGCAGCGCCGAGGTGAATAAACACATATCCCCGAGGTGCCTAGATAACATACTTATTTTTCACATTGCGAGGTCGCGTTAATGAGTCAGAATAGAAATAATTCTTAATGCCATATAATGCCTTCGCGATGTTGTTTTTTCTCATTTTTTGTGCTGCAAAGACATTGCAGGTGAATATTAGAGGGGATTATTTAACAGAAATTGATTAGAGGAGAATATTGAATATATTCCCCGCTAAGAACAAAGGAAACCGAGCAGGGTGAAAAATAAGGTATGTTACAATATGGCTGAAGTGGAGAACAGGCCATGGAATATAATATATTTCCAGTATGTATAGTAATATTACTTTTTTAAATATTGTAGATGGAACAAAAACTCAAAATAATAATCGGTAAAGCTAACCATCTCTACCACCATTTAATTTCACCTGGCAAATCATGCTAGACTGTTTACTGTATACTCTACATCACTGTGAAGATGTTACTGGTTGAAAGAATATTTTACCTGTTTCATTTGTAAATAAGGAAAAGTAGAACCTTTAAATTTATACAACTGGATGATATGCTGTATGAGAATTTCTAATGGTTGGTCAACTTATAATGTATCAAGTGGTGTCTACTATTGGATAATGCTGAAAAGTAAATATTAGAGACTAAAACTGTATGAATAAATAAGATTTCTATCTGTCAGTGACCAATTAAATATTCCAGATCAGGAGCAAAAGCTGTATGGAATCAGAAGGAATCTTATGCACCTTTAATGGTGTGCATACAGTATATCAGGACGCTTTTCAATTAATAACAGAAGATGTATTCATCACAATTTTGGACACATGAGCTAACACCTGCTATCCTGACATGAATGGTGAATGTACTGTATCCCCAGTGGAAAGAATAAATGCCTTAAAGTTTATTACTCATGTTACATGTAATACGTTCTTAATATTGAAATATCGAACTTTTGAGGGTAATACCAATGCTAAGACTATTTAAGCTACTATGTTTTAAGATTAGTATAATATTTTTATTATCAAGATAAATTGTCTAGTCGAGACCTCGAACTGTTGTAGTCTAGTTATTGTTGTATCTTATACTAAACTATGTTGAACTTTAATTTACCGATGTACAAGATATTCTGTCCCAGGGGTGAATTGGAGGGGCAGGGCTTTCTATTTTTGATGATTGCATAATCTCTTAAATCATGTTTGAAAGTTTTTGAAATTATGGTGGCGCCTCGTGAAAACCGGTACCCTATTAAAGTGTATCAATAATTATCGATAATTTCAGTGATTTCTCTTTGATTGGCATATAATCCACTAACGCCGTACGCAAATGCATGTACGCTTAGCGCACCTATTTTTATTCCAAAGGCTAACCACATGTACGCAATGCGTACCTATTTTTGTATAAAATTATGCCAAGAGCACAGCTAATAGTGTTAGTGCATTTGCAAAGTTCAGTGCACTTCAAAAGGTCATGTTTCCAAAATTTAGAAGCATTACTGTGATCGGTTGTTTTCAGGAAAGGAATGTTGTGCTTGAGTGAGCCGCCACTCATGGGGAGAAACCTTGACACAAAGAGTGGCTGTGAGGTAGACTAGGGGAGGATGAATCCACCTTCGAGTGCCCCAGTGGTAGTGCCTTAGGATCCAACCCTTGATGCATGTTATCTAAATTAGTTTTATGTTATATAAGCCTAAAAAGATTATTAAATTTATTAAAATTCTCCAGTGAACTCAAGACTAGAATGACATCCAGTTTGACAAATTGTTAGTGTCACACAGTTACAGTATCCAAGTGTCGATTTACTGTCAGTATTTGATTATTTGCAAAAAACTTTCAATGTTTTCTTCAATCTTATAACAGTATTTAATTAAATATTCATCTGACTGCATAATGTTTCGAGTAGATATCATCCCAATATTTCAATATTTGAAGAATCATACTGCATAGATAATTCCTCACCGGGGCGTGTCTAATGCAAACAAATCATTTCCAGCCAGTATGCAGACATATAGCGAGCATAATTTATGTACCAAGGACTCATTGATCACCCTGCTGATAGGCGAAGCTATACCTGTCACATTTCAGGAAGAGTTACTCCTCTTCAACAAACATCTGGAGTCTTAATAACATTTTGTCATAAATTAGATGGGTTTATACCTACTTAAATTATAAGTTTCCACTACATATAGCAGCAGTTACTGTATGTATAAGGTCACATAACTGCCACCTAACACATAATTGCTCTTCTGCCCGCACAACTTAGTTAGAATATCTCAACAATCAACATCGCAGTAAAGGCAAGACAACAGCACTTAAAGTATGTAGCAAGATTAAGCACGACAAATTCTTCAAATATGCATTCGAGGCACTTTGAGATGATTTGCACCTTCCCGAGAATGTCACCACCCTCCTGGAGTGATATCTTTACGCCCAGGAAAATACCACATCGATCAGTAATGCCCATGGGGGACACAAGACCCTGCTCCACACAGCATCTTAGAATGCTTTACAGTCAACTCGGCCCACTAACCAACTCGGCCCACCGTTCAAGGACAAACTCGTCCCGCTCCTAAACTGACTAATCTAAGTTAGGAACCATGACTACGTTCTATCTTTGCAAAGTTTGAGATAGATTTGAACTGGATGTTCTCTTGCGATATTGATTTAGAAATTGTTCATAGCCAATTGCAATCAAACTTTACTCATCTGTATACCCAATGCAACAGCAAATGGCTGTATCGGTTTGGTGCTGCCTTGTAAAATGTTAATAAGCTTCCTTAGTTCCCTAATATGTCAAACAGTAGTTAACTATTGGGCCGAGATGGTATGGGCCGAGTTGGTCAGTAATTTGTTAGCTACAAAATACAAATGCAAAAAGGGTTGTCAAACAAAATGCTCATTTTGATTTTTAAAGCAAATTTAAAGTGCACTAAACTTTGCAAATGCAGCAATTGTGAGAACAGTGAGATAGATCTACTTGACAATAACTTTATAGATGAAGGCAGTGGACTGTGATGATGATAAAAGCTAATGTGTTACTAATTACTATATGATACTAATTATAGTATTGTTTAAATATGTATTTTATATATTTACTATTAAGGTGGCTCCCTATAGTTAGTTAAGCATGGGACTGGTAACGAAAATGCCGGTTCGTGTTTGCGTGGAAAATTCGTGGATGCAGGAAAATTTCGCGCGTGCGGGAAACATGCGGGAAATTTAAATGTCAAGTTAAAGAGCAATTTCAAAACAAACATGGCCTCGCTGTTTAATAATCGGCTTTCAGACGGCAAGTTTGGCAAAGTTTCACAAATAAATACTTCCCACACGAAGGAAAGGCTACTAAAGGCAATAAATTCATGGCGAAAAACAGCAAGAGTAGAGTTTGAACCACCACCGAAAGTTCCGAAGCTCGTAAATACGCGAACGGTGACGGTATGTACAAGAAAAGAAATTTCATATTCAATAATTTCGCTGCATTTCGATAGAATTTTCGCTAAACTTACAAGTAAAATGGTTGCTCTTGATAGGAACAACGGAAAATAGAGGAAAATATGCCACATGGAGCGAGAATCATCGATATTGATGTTTTGAAAGGCAAGCTTCAGAAATGTCAATTTTGTCTAAAAGGTAGCTGCGCGGTTTGACAATTTTTTATCACACCTTTTAGTCTATATTTGTACAAATTTAACATAGTATTTCACTTGATTTTGTTTGTTTTTCTCGCCCAAGCTACTAAAGAAAAATACCTGAACACTCTTATGCAAAACAAATCAAAATAGTAGCAGCTTGTACAAGCAAAACAAATAAATAAATAGTTCACTTGATTTTTTACAAAACAGATATATATTTCACTTGATTTTGTTTGTTTTTCTTGCCCAAGCTACTAACAAAAAATATCTGAACACTCTCTTATGCAAAACAAATCAAAATAGCAGCAGCTTGTACAAGCAAAACAAAGGAATAAATATTTCACTTGATTTTTTACAAAACAAATACATATTTCACTTGATTTTGTTTGTTTTTCTTGCCCAAGCTACTTACAAAAAATACCCGAACACTGTCTTATGCAAAACAAATCAAAATTCTAACTACAAATGCTAACTACAGTATAAACAGCAACAGAACATCATAAAACATATTCAATCTTATAGCCTATTTTGTGTAAAAATATCAAATATCAATTCCTGATACTAGTGTAGTAGAGAACAAATTTATTTATATACGTCTACATATACTAGACAATTTAAAATTCTAAAATTTAGGTCCAATATCCCTGGCCAACATTATTGATGAAAAACAATATGGTTTAGCAAGTCAGTTCAGAGTAAAATGCCAGTTCTGTTCCAAGCAAAATATAATTAATACCTCAGCATCTCATAAGTCTGGCAAGTCTGGACCAAAGGCATATGATATCAACTCTAAAGCTACATTGGCTAGTTTACATGCAGGGATTGGTGAAACACATCTAAAAAGTATTTTGTCAGTAATGAATATCCCACCAATGAGTCGAGCTTCCTTCAAAGCCAGAGAACGAGAAACAGGGAAGGCTGTAGAAGCTGTCGCAAAAGTCTCGTGTGAGGAAACAATTGCAAATGAGAAAAAACAATTGATAAACATCGGGGAAGAACCAGATGAAAACAATTTAGTGTCTGTTCCTTGTTCCTATGACATGGGCTGGCAGAAACGGGGAAAGGGATTTAATTCTAACACTGGTCAAGCTGCTACCATGAGTCAAACCACAGGAAAAATTTTTGATTATGCTACAAAGGTTAAGAAATGTCGAACTTGTGAGTATGCACAACGTACCAGTACAAATGCAAAGGCTCATGATTGCCGTAAAAACCACACTGGTTCATCTAAAGCCATGGAGCCAATATCTGCAGTTTGAACTTTTTAAAAATGCTCCAAAACATGGCATTAAATACTCCACATATACCGGTGATGATGACTCGACAACTGAATTATATATAAACCAACAAGTTCCTTATGGTGTTGAAAAGTTCAGTGACATAATACACATTAAACGCTCACTCACAACAAGATTGTACAACCTGAGCAAGATGGCACAGATTAAGGAGTGCTCTACACTGTCATCAAAAGTTATTGAATACCTTGTTAAGGTGGCTCCCTACAGTTAGTACAGTTTAAATACGATTTATATAGATCAGACTTCATCCTCGCGACCTGCGCGTGGAATCGTCGTGTTTACTGTTCGGCAAAAATATTGAAACAAGCCGCGGGAAGTTTTTTGGCGTTTTTATCTACAAAGAAAGCTTCAGTTTTTCATTATAATCCTAATTTTTTTGTGAATTCGAACAGTACGTATGTTATTAACTAGTTTAGCCAATCTTTTAGTGTGTTTTTACGTATTTACGTTCAGTATTGTCTTTCATATTGCTCAAAATTTTCAACTTGTTGTGTTGCGAATTGTCAAACTGAAACGATACTGTCTTCTATAACTCTTGAACAGTAGTGAACTGTCGCCGAAACTTATGTAAGTTCTGTCAATCAATTCAATTCACAGGTATCGTTTTATCTGCTAAATCAAATAAAACAGTTATGAGTTGTTTTATATAAAAAGTTAAACAAATGTAAACTAACACTGGATTTAATACAATGCGTATAATAGTGTTTTTTTATTAGTATTTTCAAGATTAATATTTTATTTTCATGTCAAACAAGTCAGAAATATCTGTTTTCGTATGTATTATTGTAAGCCAAAAAGTTGAAATCACTATAAATCACACGCTACAATTTACACGCATGCGCAGATGGTGCTCATGTCGAGTTGATTTTTTTTTCATGCTGGCCACGCCGATTTTAGCGATGATTTTCTCGTGTTTTCTTCGGTGAAATTTTTTTAAACTTTGTATTTTTGTTATACAAGACGAGTGGTACAACATATCCAAATTTTAAGAAATTCTACAAATAACTTTTTCTGTAACCGTCATTCACGAATATCTCGAAAACTTATTTGTAAATTCCCTTCAAATTTTGATATGTTTTTCCTTTATGGACCATAAATCTTCAAAAAAAATTTCAGAAAAATTCACCGAAGGAAAATATAGATATTGTCAATTTATTGTGAAATTAGACAATAAAAGTGCAAAAGATTAAACGTCATGGTTGCCATGGCAACACAAACACTGTTTTAATTTGTTCATAAATGGACAGCACACAGCTTCTGAACTTTCCTGGAAATGATCATATTGCCTTGTCTTAAGTGTATCTAATATAAATTCGGTTCAAAGCGAACGTTACTCAAAATACCTAGAATTTTAGAGAACTGTAGGGAGCCACCTTAAGTGCTTTTCAATTGTGGTTGCCCAAAACAAAAGTGATCTTGAGGCGATGAAGTCGTCCCTAAAATGCATTGTCCCACATTCCTTTGGTGACCATGCTAGTTGCAATGAGTCATGGTGCAGATATAAACAAGATCCCACCAACTATAAACACACATATCTACCATATGGCAAGGACTTGTATGGCACTGCCTTGAAGTCAGCCCTTGAAAACAACTTCAGCCAGCATTACAGTGACACCATGATTAAAAAACTTGGTCCAGCTGCCAACTCCCAAAGGAACGAATCATTTAACAGCACAGTAGGCTCCAAAAACCCCAAGATCAGGTACTACGGTGGAAGCGAGAGCAATGACTTTCGGGTGGCTTGTGCGGTGGCTCAGACCAATGTTGGTTACGGTTATGTTTGTTGCACATTCAAAGCATTAGGAATAGATCCTGGATTGAACTGTACCAAATACACCTGCAAAATGGAGAAAAAGAAAAGTAAAGATATCGACAGAAAAAAACTCAATTTTATTCAAGCAGCGCAGAAATCAACTTCATAGCCGAAGAATCCAAGGCACTGCGAGAAAAGAAAAACAAGAAGGCCCAACCTATGAATCAGGTATTGGTATGAACTTGGAACAGTCAGAGTCTGGGGCTACTATAACTGGAAGTGAATCGATCACAGGGCTACTTCAGTTAATCAAGGGAAATGTACCAAAGGAAACAATAACTGTTTATGAAGGAACAATCTCCCCATTCACCCCAAGGCCAATTTGTCCGAATAATGAATTTGACAGTAACTTAGAGTACAATATTATTGTGTTTGATGTCGAGACAAACACAACAGGTAAAGCTGCCCAGTTGTGCCAGCTTTCAGCTGTTGATAAGACCGGCCAAAAGTGTTTTTCCGAGTATATTTTGCCTGACAAAGACATCGACAAATATGCCACACGGGTAAATAAACTGACAGTAAAATTAGTTGGTGGCAAACGAACACTTTTTAAAGATGATGTAGCTTTAAAAACACTTACCTGTCAAGATGCAACTTCTCGATTTGTCAACTATATTCACAGCTGCATCGAATCCAGCAAGGCTAGGACGAACAAAGGTGTATGTGCAGTTCTAATCGGCTATAATGCAAGGCGTTTCGACATCCCGATATTGCTTCGTAACAGTGCCAGTGAAATTCACGCCAAAATGCAAGCTTTAGGGATTTGTTTTGGCGACAGTCTTCCATTGTTCGAGCACCTGATAAAGATCAAACATCCAGCGTTAACCCAATCAAATGGTCGAAGATGTTCGTCAAACAAGTCGTCGATCTACGAGGGTTTATTCAACGAGAAATTTGCTGCACACGATGTCGAGTCGATTTTTTTTCACGTTCGCGCCTGGTCGGCTGGTCGCGCCGAATTTAGGGGCGAATTTCTCGTGTTTCCTTCGGTGAATTTTTTTAAACTTTGTATTTTTGTTGTAAAAGACAAGTGGTAAAACATATCCAAATTTCAAGAAATTCTACAAATAATTTTTTCTGTAACACTTATTCATGAATATCTCGAAAACTTATTTATAAATTTCCTTTAAATTTTGATATGTTACTCCTTTGTAGACTTATAAATGGTAAAAAAAAATTCAGAAAAATTAACCGAAGGAAAATAAAAATATTGTCGATTTATTGCGAAATTTGACAATAAAAGCGCAAAAGATAACATGACATAGTTTCCATGGCAACACTAAACACTGTTCCTACTTGTCCATATATGGACAGTACAAAGCTTCTTAACTTCCCTGAAAATGATCATATTGCCCTACCTTAAATGTATTCAATATAAACATGGTCGGACGCGAATGTTACCTAAAATATCTCAAATTTTAGAAAACTGTAGGGAGCCACCTTAAACCTTTCTTTTGTAAAATGTAACCGTTGTAATTCAGCCTCTTGGCTGCAAGATCGGGTTTTTTTTTTAATAAATTGTAATTGTATCAAGAACAACCTTACCTTTAATTTGCCCAGTGTGCATGTTGCAGCGTCCCGTTCAGATTTTCTGTACGTGTACACTCTTTTTCTTTTGGAGGGCACAAACCTCCTAACTTACAATTTTCAACAATTACTTGACAAGGGACCATTAACCAATGAGATGCCCACAGAGATAGCGGTGGTCAAATCTGAACTTCTCTTTTAAATAGTTTGCTTGTCCAGTAAATTCTACCATTATTTACCATTTTGTTATTCTTTTAAGTTAACTTCAAAGTCAACCATGAAGGAGGGCAACATTAAATCTTTTGGCATGGTCTCGGTTCTGTGAGGCCTGCAAGAAAACCAGCTTTCGTGAATTCACGCATATGCTACACGCCGTTCAATTTTCCCCGAGCCGGCGGCGCGAAGCGCCGTGCGAGGGTACTAATTCCCCCCGGCTATTTACACCCGGGGAAACGAAAGCATTAGCGGAGTCTAAAGTTCATCAATGAGCGCGGGCGTCGGTCACCAACGATGGGTGGTCATCCTCACTGATCTCAAAAATATGGCGGACTGTCATGAATAACGGACACTGATTGGTCCAATTTAACGTTTGCATTATAACGGTGCATGACGACAGCGAAATAGCAAACATTTCTTGATTTGATGAGTTGATGATTGATAAATTTCTTGCAAATATTCTTCATTTTTGCTCGTATTTCTGCAAGATTTTGTAAATTTCAAGAAAGAAAGGGCGAAAGAATCAGCTAAAAGAAGGGAGCCGACGTTAACGAAGGTAAGTTTGTTTTAAATATTGATTTTATAATGGCTTTAAAACCCGACGGCCTTTGCGTATATGAAACAACTAAACAAGACAGCATATAATTTCAGTGTATCTTTAATATTGATTCCCTTTTTTATTATATTGAATTTTTTAAATAAAAAATAAGGCAAAGTTATTTGCAAGCGAGAATTTGAAATCATTTTATTGCAAACTCAAAGTTTATCGATAAAGCCATTTAATAGTTAAAGGCAGTTTAGTTTTATAAAGAACACTTTAAAACTTTTTGTGAATTGTTTGTGGTTGAATTTTACCTTAAATTGAAGCTTGTATTAAGATATATGTGTTAGGTATGTAATTATACGTGGGAAATTGATAATTTTGTAATTAAAAGTGATATTTATAGGCGATTTTCATTTGTAAGAAAATTCTTAAAAAATTATCGTGTTACCATGACAACTACTTTAGATACTTCATGTTCGGAAAATACAACGGTTTTGTCAGCAAGGCGAGGGTTTCTGCATGCATGTATTTTCTAGTTGTATAGGTAAAATGTGATTGGTCAACGCCATGAGTTAATGGACTTCTTTACGGCCGAGCGAATAATTATCCCCGAGCCGGCGGCGCGAAGCGCCGTGCGAGGGTACTAATTCCCCCCGGCTATTTACACCCGGGGAAACGAAAGCATTAGCGAGCGAAGTCTAAAGTTCATCAATGAGCGCGGGCGTCGGTCACCAACGATGGGTGGTCATCCCACTGAGCTGTATAATAACTGGAGGACCTGCTCCTATACTTCGTTCAGTCAACAAAGTGTCGCCAAAAACATGGCGGATTTTGAGTGAAAATGACGCCATTTCCATGACAACACTTACTTTATTTTCATGGTAGGTACCACTGACCAGGCTCATTTCTGAGCCCACGGCCGTTTTCACCCCCCCCCCCTGATCACAGAGTAAGGATATACAGAGGCGGAACTCGAGGCAAATCATGTCCCCACTTTTTTAATGCGCATGCGCAACCCTCTGGCAAGTGTCATGCACATTTTTTATCAGGAAAAAGATAGGGAAATGCAAAATTTTGGCCGTAAAACGGCGATTTTAAGCGCAGTAACCGATCAATCTTCATTTTCTGCACGAATTTTGCAAATAAATGGCACACTGCGTCTTCTTAGCGAAAGGGAATTGAACGAATACCATTTTTAACGGCGAAAATGAGAAAAGACACACGAAGGAGTGAGAATTTCTGGCAATCTGAAGATTCGATTCTGTAGACCTGAACTCCAGTTGGAACTTGGCAACTTTATATGTGAGTTTTTTTTCTCTAGCTCATATATATGAAATTATCAATATATTTTTGTGAAGTGCAATGTTGTATGAAAGGGTTGTCGTTAATTTAAACATTGCATAAACAGCATTCAGATACGAAAAATATGAACATCAACATTCAACATGGACTGATGGACTTGGACATGGAGCCACAGTACTCTAAAGTTCTCATATAGACTTTATTTAACTTATATGTTGACCCAATGGTGAGGGATTGGTCAAATTATACTTTATAGTGATTCCCCTAGATTAGTGCATTGGTTATTGTGCAATGACAACCTTTTTTTTGGCTCTCAAAGGTCAATAATTTCTCAAACATGCCAAGTCTGTACATGTTTAATAATCTAATCTGTTTATTTTTTATTTTGCTTTTCTAGATTGCCAATCATTCCTGTTGAACTACATTGTTCATTACAATGAATCAGATGCAGATTCTTACAACATTTACTATGTTAATTTGTTCACCTGATTGGGGAAAACCTGAGACTATTTGATCTTATATTGGAATGCCTACCAATTTTACATAGCCTCAGGCAATGTTTATATAATTAATCTTGAGTAATAGAGATGCTGCACCCCCTGACGGAGTGACCTTACTACCTGGATCATCCCACTAGGCAAGACAAGTTCAAAACTTTCCATGCAAACACTTGCATGGCAGTTGCTATAGTAGGATATGAATATAGTTTTGCCTTGCCAGGGTGGCTCGGGGGGGGGGTAGGATTTCCCTAGTACCTGGAGACCATATAGACAGGCCGTCGGATTACTGTAATAGTTTAATTGAGGTTCAAAAAAGCAGCCCCCCCCCCAAAGTGGTAGGTCTGCTCCCCAAATCCAGCCCCCCTTGGAAGATGTACTGTAAAGCTAGACAATTTTACTTGTTAACCCAACTTTATTATTCTGTCTAACACCGGACGATCCAGTTAACCCATTGAGTTGCATTGCATGTGCCCTGATGCACCCTACTTTATTATTTTACTCTGTCTAATGCCAGACGATTTTACTCGTCAAGGGGTGAGCACACTTTAACATGCAAAGTATTAATTGGGAATACTTTCTCTTTTAATGGGAAACTCTTTATCAATAAAAGGAACAATGCAATTATTCTGTAGTATTTAATTTTTCATATAAAGCAAAGACTGTAAGAGGAAACATGGATCATTGGCTACTTTTTTTATTTAGTATTAATTTTCATGACAACATGTGGGTCAACTATAAAGGAAACAGTTATTGCCTATTTTGGAATAAAAAATTTAGAATATAGCAATATTCATTGACATTGAACACATATTTAATTTATTTAGTTTTTGAATAATTTAAGTTCTTAAATGTATATAAATGTGACATAAAATAAACAACATTTATTAAAATTGTATTTTTAAATCCCAATTACACTGTTGTATTTACATTTCACTGTTGTAGTATTTACACTGTCAGTAGTTATTACACTGTAGTATTTACATTTCAAGACCTTAACCAACATCATTCCTTGGAGTTTCTCATGACAAGATGTCTCAACCAAGATCCTCTGGAGAACTTCTTTGGCCTCATTAGGCAGCAGGGGGGGGGGGGATTGTGACAACCAATTAGTCCCATCCAGTTCACCAGAGCATTTTGCATATTATTTGTAGATAATATTTTGACACCACTTTCAATTGGCAGCTGTGCTGAAGATTCTGATGCCTATTTGATTGCATTTCACCCTAGCCAATCTGATTTATCTGCAGGAAATGATCAGACAAGCCCACCACTAATCCAAGCAGTTGAAGATACCGACTACAAAACAAATGAAATTGAACAAAACTTAGTCTGCATGAACTTATGTGTCAAGCTATTTATTAAGGAAGTGCCTTATCCAACATAGCTGTCCAATATGCCATCATAATTTTGTGATAAAGGATGTCAATGACAGTAGTCTCTGCTATTCTGCATGTGAAAGACCTCTGACCTTTGAAGGCGTAAAGAAACGTTTCTTTGCTGGAGAATATATTTGTGAATGTGGTTATTAGTTGCACAGAAAGTATTAAAAACATAGGTAGTTTAACTTTTAATTTTTGCTCACAAATCGCAAAGCTACATGCATGGAACCTGATGGACGTGTTTCAAATCAGCACCTATGCTTTCTTATTAATGTAAAAGACAGGAAAGCAATACGTTTGGCCCGCATTAATTTAGCGAAATGGGAATCTGCTTCTTGGCAATATAAACATCACAAGCACCGAGATTGTAATTTGTATTATACTATTTTTTCTTTGTATTTAGCCTATAAACGTATATCTTTTTACATAAAAATAACCACTTACCATTTATATTTCAAATTTGAATCCCAAAATGAAGTTCGGTGGAGCAACTTCGCAAAAATACTTATTTTTCTACTTTCGAACGGTGTTTTTCCTATGCTTTTGACTGAAAACACGACGAATGACACTTGCCAGAGCAATTTGCGTGGCGCGTGGAAATGACGTTCACGGGGACACAAAGAACAAAGGAATCGCCGCGAGTTCCGCCCATAGTTCAATGGTTCCGCCTCTGTATACTCTGTGCCTGGTTTTTGCAAAAAAGTTTTGCAGATATTATAGTTCTCGTGGTTTTGAATCGGTTTTTAAAATTTTTTCGATATAAATTTTCTACCTTTGACGATTTGGACAAAAATATGCAAGTCGTACGTGTTATTCTCGCCCGTGAAAGACGACAAACAATTTAAAACCTCAAGAAATGTGGGAAAAGACTTGAATATGGATCAGTTCAAAGGGTAAGAGACAAATTTTCATATTTCAATTTTTTAATATTTAGACTTTACCTTATTTGACATGAAAATGATAAGTATAACGATGAAACTGACACTCTATTTGTTAATAAAACAACTTCCTATGTAATACACATGGCAAAGTGTAATATTTCCCACTAGTTTACTAATTTTAACAAGCAACAATAATCGCAAAATATTTGGTTACAAACTACGAAGCTTTGATCGAGATTCAGTCACATATACGAGGATTACGACGGTCTTTAAAGTGCAAACTGTCTGTGTAATAATGTTTAAAAGGTTGATTCCTGAGGTCTCGTTTTATAAACAGACATAAACCTCATTTCCAGGATGGCCTGATTTCTTGCAAGTTTTCTCAGTATTAAAATATCACTCTGAATGAGCAATATACCTTTATAAGTGCACTCATAGTTCTGACACCTCTGGTTTAAGCTGAGGAGTTTATAGGTCACATTCTTTTGTTTACCTTGATCGTATGCTAATTATGTTACTGGTGGATTTTTGTACAACTTACATAATTAATCTACTCTTGTTTTATATTGCAGATTTATTCCACAATGACACACTCCTTTCTGGGTGGCAAGTTACAATACCAAGCCACACATATCTTTGGAAACTGAACATACTGTATTTTAATACATGCTTCCAGAAATAATGTCACCTTGGCTATATATAGGGTCTCATTTTCACAATTGAGATATAACTCATGCCACATACATGAAAATGAGGCTCCATAGCCAAGGTGAAATATATTCCGGAAGGGTGTATTTGACTTTTTTGAAAAATTATTAGCAGTAAACAATTTAAAAAACAAAAATGTATCATTTTAATTGCTATAAAACTTTATTTACACTTCAATAAAGTTATCATAATCATATAATTATTTATGTTGTTATGCATGGTATTATAATTAACTAATTCATTTTGTTGTTTTTCTGCATGTTGATGCCTCTCCTGTGCCATCTCTTGTGTATATTAAACATGTAATTTCTGCAAAATAAAAGATGACATTATTATCATGATACATTATACATCTTTACATCACAATAATATCATATACACATATGTTAATCCTTCACAAGTGGCAATGTGTCTTGATATGCCTTACTGTATTATTTTAATCTACCTAATGCCAGACAATTTTACTAGTCAAGGGGAGAGTGCAATTACATGATCTGTTTTTACCAAGACCAGTAATTGATCTGAGCTTCAAAATTAAATCTTATGTTTCAATATTCAGCAATGCAATTATTACATTCCTAACTAACTGCTAAAATATGTCAAACTTAACTATTATGATCAAATTTTCATCATAATTTCTCACAGGCTGTGTCATGGCCAATCGGACATCACTATATACTCCCAATGTTAGAAATCATGGGTGGATTTACTTGACAGTTGAGGGGGGGGGGGGAGTTTAAACCCCTCTAATAAAGTGTTCAACCCCACCAAAATTCTGCTTCAACCCTCCCATTTTGTGTGAAAGGCTTTATTCCCAAATGTCTAACCCCTGCCAAAGCTCACTGAGTGGTGCCACTTGCACCCCACCAGAAATTTTTGTACCCCTCCTTTTAAATAAATGAAAATCCGCCCTTGTTAGAAATGCTGTAGCATTACGAATTTACCTCATGATTAGTGTATCAGTGACTCACTTAAATTCCGGCAGCTTGTGGGAAACATTTTTGTTCTTGCCAATAACTATGACATCATACTGTGTAAAACTATATAATTTTATATAGTTCTGAACAGACAATGACAAAATGATATCTATTTTTAAGACTCTTCCCTTGATGAGTAAAACATCTGGATTTAATCTCACAGATTGAGTAAAATAAGAAAGTAGCCAGGGTTCATTGCAGCTTAATTGGCTGATTATATATCTCATGGGCTGCTCATTTGCAGATAGTGTAATTAACCCACTGTGTGGCAGCAGGGGGCTATTAGTAAAACACGGAGCACACGGAGCACGGAGTACGGAGCACACGGAGCACGGAGCACACGGAGCACGGAGCACACGAACTACGGAGCAGTAGAAAAACGAAAATCCTTTATAATAAAATACACTGTTTACTACAAATTTTTATTACAAATTTTTGTTCTTATTAATAAAGTTTTTTCGCGTTTTACACGTTGAGGAAGTAGAAAAATGGGGCTTTTACTGCACATATGATGCAAAACTGCCAAAAGCCATAGTATTTAAAATAGGATTGTGCCTGTGAAACTCGTCACATATCTATCAAGCTTATGAGTTATGTAGTTATATCAGTATATTCCGATGGCCAACGCATTAAGAAACACTTAGAGAACAGCCGATATATTTCGTTACCCCTGCCAAAAAATAGCCAAGTGACTCATCTTTCAATGTAGCGGATCGACTGAACATTATAAAAGCTTGTCATGGAGAGAAGTGAATTTTCGGTTTATCCTTCGTCCCAGTGACCAGTGAGCAGTGTGCTGTACGGCCTACGCCGGTTTAAACCGTTATACATAATTACTGCTTTCATTCTTTCAATCCGTTTTGAATATTCGGAATCATTCACTATTATATTATAAAACTGTATAAGATAGCTGTAGAACTATAAATGCTGTAGAATAAAATAAATAAAGAAAACTACGTTTTATCGCGGTATTTGCCGATAAATCGGCAACCGCTACAGAAAAACAGAACAAATTACAGTAAATCACAACAAACCGCGGAAGTGGGACAATTTTTGTATTTTTACTGTAAGACATGCAGAACATGTACGAAATCCATACAGAAGTGTGTGTGTATTCTATACTTTTGAAACAACTAAATCAGACTTCGGAAAATTTGACAGTATTAAAGCTACTTTTGAAAATTTAGATTTTAGGTCTTTGTTTTACATGTACCCAGTAAATATTTTTGAGTTTTGAACTCTGATTCTCACAAACTTACAATTTGTTTACAATTTACTCTGGCTCTGCCGTGCTGCACGGCAGAGTTGATCGGAATTGTAACAAATACGCGTACACTTAAATGGCTTCCTGAATTTAGTCAATCAGATCTGAGATGTGTAAAAATTACTCGTTTCAATATTATGTTTATGCTCGAAACTGCTCATGTTTACAATAGCAATTCTAACAATCTTGCCCTCCTTTTCGCCTTTGAGGCGTTGGTGTTGATTTATACACAAAATTCAAAACTCAAAAATATTTACTGGTCTGGGTACATGTAAAACGAAGACCTAAAATCTAAATTCCCAAAAGCAGCTTTAATACGGTCAAATTTTCCGAAGTCTGATTTAGTTGTTTCAAACTGAGTATAGAATACACACACACTTCTGTATGGATTTCGTACATGTTCTACATGTCTTACAGTAAAAATACAAAAATTGTCCCACTTCCGCTGTTTGTTGTGATTTTAATACTGTAATTTGTTCTGTTTTTCTGTAGCGATTACCGATTTATCGGCAAATACCGCGATTTGAAAACTTACTTTTCTTTATTTATTTCATTCTACAGCATTTATAGTTCTACAGCTATCTTATACAGTTCTATAATATTGTGAATGATTCCGAATATTCAAAACGAATTGAAAGAATGAAAGCAGTAATGATGTACTGTATATAACGGTTTAAACTTAGCCGGCCGTACAGCTCACTGCCACCGGTCACTGAGCAGAAGGATAAACCGAAAATGCACTTTTCTCATCACAAGATTTAATGTTCAGTCGATCCGCTACATTGAAAGATGAGTATACTTGGCTATTTTTTGGCAGGGGTAACGGAATATATCGGCTGTTCTCTACAGTAAGTGTTTCTTTATGTGATCATAACTACATAAGCTTGATAGATGTAAGATAACGAGTTTCACAATCCCATTTTAAATACTATGGCTTTTGGCAGCCTGGTTTTGCATCATATGTGTTTTTCAGTAAAAGCCCCATTTTCCTACTTCCCCAACGTGTAATACGCGAAAAAACTTTGTTAATAATAACAAAAATTTGTAATAGTAAACAGTGTATTTTGTTATAAAGGATTTTCGTTTTTCTACTGCTCCGTACTTCGTGTGCTCCGTGTGCTCCGTACTCCGTGTGCTCCGTACTCCGTGTGCTCCGTACTCCGTGTGCTCCGTGCTCCGTGTGCTCCGTGCTTCGTGCTCCGTGCTCCGTGTTTTACTAATAGCCAAATTAACAATGACTCTATTTTACCTCGCTTACCTCGCTGTAACGTTTACCTCGCTGCATCGAGCCAAATCTTTTCGAATTAAAACAACTTCTGATGTTCATGAACACGGAAAAATCGCTTAACGGCTTGTGTGAAAAAAAACCCGGAACGACGGCGCATTTTACAAATGACTGGAAGCTCTGGCGTCTCAACTCCGCCATAAATGAAGGTAACGAATTTCAGAGGCTCTGGTAGTCTTCAAATCGCGGTTGGTAACAAGTTTTATTGCGGATATTGGTACTTCAAACTTCCCTTTTTTCAACTATATTAGTCACTGAATCCAGTTAGGAGCCACTTTTGAGAAATTTAAAGTCGAATTTGATATGTGTACCATGGGCGGATCTAGGGGTCGTCAAACCAGTCACGCGACTAACGTAAAAATTACAAACTTAATTAAAGTCTGATTAAAGCATTAAATATTCGACCAATAGTCCAGTTATTTTTTATCATGCAGTGGCACTTTATAATAGTCCAGTATCTACTATCATGCAGCGCTAGCAATTAACATTCCAATTGAACTGTAGTCCAGTGATCAAATTTCATACAGTGGCTGAGCCGACGAGCTTAGTCAAGTCAATGAGCAGCTGACATACGCAAAGTCGGTCAGTCAAAAAGTCAAAATCCTGTGTTCTGATTGGTCTAGACACTTATTTCCATGGAAACAAGCGAATTTTTGCAAATTTGACTGATTTGTGGAGAGTTCTGACCGATTTACAGAAGTCAGGGGCGCCCCATTAGTCTGAATATCATTAATATTATATTTCACTCGTTGTAAAGTCTTTCCGAGCGCGCACTCATTCGAAGTGTCATGTTGGAGCTTTGTCGAAAGATTCAATTTAAAGATATATATCTACGGAAAATTCAGAAATGTCTGCTGCTCCCATCCTTGTAGTATTCATGAAACGGTTGAATCCGCATTTGCGGTGAATGATTTAGCTGTCTTACAAGACTGTTGCGCTGATCTTGGGAGGAAAATCGACACTAAATATCGGAGAGTTCGATTCAGTGAGCAGTTGCTAGGCGCTATGAGTAGCACGAACTACAGTTTGACTGTTTGAGCAGAAGTATTGGCGCCGAAATCTTTATTCTGAAGTGCAATAAGGTAAATTTAATGTGATATGTAAATTTTATTTCGTTTTAGACAGCATGACAATATTTATAAGCGAACAAGATGCACGCCACGCATATGTAAATACGCGTATTTTGATTTAGCCATGAATTTTGATTTACACAACAAATTTGCATATTTGTGCGGTTGAAGGACCGTCAGAACTCAGGAGGCTATTGAGGATAACCGATATAAATGCATTAATGAAGCATACATAAGATCTAAAGGTCAGGTTTTATTGATGAGTGTTCAAACTTTAATATTGATATATGTTTATTTGAGTAATATGACACTGTAATGATTACTAGTCAAGTGATCAATGACTCAACAAGGCTATTAGGCAACATAAATGAGTGTAATACCATCATGAGTTAGTTAAACATAATACTAGCAATCCGTAATTTGATAAAATGAAACATCTTCCACACTTATCACATTTCTGCAAGTACTTCACTTTTAAATTTCCCTAAGGAGCGAGTTGTGAGAGTCAGTGAGACTGATAATTGCTATAATTATCTCCCAATTCATGAGGTTAATTTTTTGTTGAAGCTGCTTTCAGAGTGCTGCAAATGGCGTTTCTGAGGTTTAAATATAAATATTTCGTGGGGACAGACACCCTGGGGGACAGACCCCCCCCCCCCAGGTGCCTCGCGCATTCACCGCTCGCAAAACTAGATTGTACATCTGAAAACTTTGACCGCCCCTGATGTGTACAAAGCCGTATTTGAACTTGGTGCTTGTTATCGCTAAAGTTTGCCATAATAGTTTTGTAAAAGCATCATAAAACCAGGTAAGTTTCAAAGTAGAATAACTTTCACGTGCGTGGGCGAAAAAATCAGAAAAGACATTGTGAAAGTAACGAAGAATTTCATTTTTTTAGCCTAGAGCCATTGGTCGGTTCTTAGAGAGATAAGCTCTTAAATTCATTCCCAATCGTGCAGAATAGACATACAGAGTTTAGATTATTAAATATCAGCATTGTCAATTTGACAATAATTTCCGGGTTTTCCCAGAGTAGCTAATTTTAATACGAAAGCGTACCACGTTTAATAATACCTCGCTTCATCGATCGAAATCTTTTTTAATTAAATCCACTTGTGATGTCCATGAACACAGAAAATCGCTTAACTGCGATGATTTAAAGGCTTGTGTAAAAAAACGGAACAGCAGCGCATTTTACAAGTGACTGGAAGCTCTGACGTTTCAACTCCGCAATAATTGAAGCTAAAAATAGCCAAATTGTATCAAATTTCAGAGGCTGTCGAGTCTTCAAATGACGGTTGGTAACAAGTTTTATTGTGGATATGGGTACTTCAAACTTCCCTTTTTTTAACCATATTAGACACTGAATCCAGTTAGGTGCCACTTTTGAGAAATTTAAAGTCGAATTTGATATGCGTACAAAGCCGTATTTCCACCCGGTGCTTGTTATCGCTAAAGTTTGCCATAACCTTTCTGTAAAAGAATCAAAAACGAGGCAAGTTTCAAAGTAAAATAATTTTCACGTTGGCGGGTGAAAACATCATAAAATTTCGTTGAATACTTTTAAAATTATATGTATTTGTATTCGGTTAATTTTTATTCCTGATTTAGGCAGAGGATTTTCTGCCCGACGGCGCGGGACCGAAAAGTAGCTGAAATTTTAAAAATTAATAAAATTTCAAAATTCCAAATAGTGTTTTTTTCTTCTTGGGGTAAATACATTTCATTGTGAAAGTAACGAAAAACTTCATTTTATGAGCCGAGACTCATTGGTCGGTTCTTAGAGAGAAAGCCTCTTAAAAATTAATTGGATCGACACAGCGATTTTCCCTAATATATCAAGTAGTATTCTACCAGGTAAAACTTCCACATCTGGGAATGAATTTGCCATGCATTGGCGAACATTTATCGGCATGCAGGTTTCCGTAGTGTAGTGGTCATCACGTGCGCCTAACACGCGCAAGGTCCCCAGTTCGATCCTGGGCTGAAACAAAGGATTGATTGAAAACGTACAACTTTCCCTTCAACATTAAATTTTAAAAAAGTACTTTAAATGCCAAGTTTAAAGACACTTCCTAAGATTATTTCGGTCAAAATTGTTTTTATAAAAGTTGTAATGAACAAATTGTCTTCCACCAACTAAAATTTGCATTTTTCTGTCAAAAAGTATTTATCAAGCATGTCCATGATGTAAAACAAACCGGAAGATAAATACTTTTACTTAGTTTACCTTCTGTTTTCTTGTTCAATAGAAAAGCATCTATGGCAATGAGACTAAAAGCCATTTATCCAACTTTTATTGCGTCATATTAGCAGTTTCACAGCCATGCATGCACCAAAGTAACAAACGCAACCGATCTCAAATGTACTTACAACAACTAGAATTTTATCGGTATTCATTATAACCGTGAACTATCAAATTAAAAAATGAACACGTTATTTACCGTTTAGTTCATTCCGTAATAAACAAATTTTCCCCTCGGAAGCGTCTCACGGCCTTCGGCCTCGGGCCGGTTTTGAGACCTCGGAAAAATATTTTTTTAGTACCGACCTCGCAGTCGGTAAATAACATATATATATTTTGTTTCCGCACTAGTGTGAAATATTTTAACAAAACTCAAAATAACAGTGACTCCGAAAAACATTTTGGTTTTTAATCAACGTTTCGACTGGTTTGTAGTCATCCTCAGGATTAAGAATTACACCAATATATTCAACGGCATCACGAAATAATTTTAAAATTTTCTGTCAGGAGTGGGATTCGAACCCACGCCCAAATTAGTGGACCAGAACGCCCTTTGGCTGCGCATTAGCGGAGCAAGTTTGGAAACTTGAGTCTGCCGCCTTTCACCGCTCGGCCATCCTGACAGCTGACAACCTTCGTGCCTACTGTACTTTACATCATTTTACTTTCTTAAATAATGGAGATAAAATATTTCATTTAAACCAGAAAAATACATCCGACTGCAACTAAATCAACAATCGTTTCTTACAACGTACGTCAGTGCTCCTTCTATTGCTTCAAGAGAAGAATCAAAATAGGCTTCTGCGGGAGGATCACTTGCATAAATTTTCAGTTAATTTTGAACGTTTGAAACTGGAGAAGTTTGCAAAGGATTCCGAGCAAGCGCTTGTTTCTGTAGTGTAGCGGTCATTAAATGCGCATTACGCGCGCAAGGTCCCTGTTCGATCCTGGAAAGAAGCAGCATTTTGTGTTTTATTTACAAAAAAAGAAGAGAGCAAAGTTCTGCAACGCATTGAACTCGCGCTTCACCAGCCAAGTTTCTGTAGTGTAGTGGTCATCACGTGCGTATCACGTGCGCTTCACACGCGCAAGGTCCCCAGTTCGAACCTTGGCGGAAACATAGTAAATGTGATGCGAAGCCCCGCTGTTTATTATCAAATTTTAACTTGCGTACATCATCGGTTTTTCAAAAGGTAAACCTATTTTTAAAGACCGTTAATTTGTGACTCGCGATACGGGTTGCACAATCAAATTTTCCTTCTATTGCTTCCATTTGCCCCGTTTTCGCGATCGATGAGAGAACAACTTGCGCATTATTTATTACCTGTTCTAGCTTAATCTTGCCTAAAAACTGTTTCATGCTAAACACTGATTAATGCATTAACCGGCAGTCGAGATCTGCCCTACCGCCCAATATTTAACGAAGCAATAAATATGACAGCTGTTTCCCACGATTGATCTCAAGATTGAGTGGTGGGGAGAACGAGAGCTTCACTGTCAATGTGCTGCTTCAAACTGACACAACGAAGAAATTTTTTAGCTGATCAGCATTTAATTATTTAAAAATTAAATGGATCGACACAGCGATTTTCCCTAATATATCCAATAGTTTTCTACCAGGTAAAACTTCCACATCTGGGAATGAGTTAGCCATGCATTGGCGAACATTTATCCGCATGCATGTTTCCGTAGTATCGTGCGCCTAACACGCGCAAGGTCCCCAGTTCGATCCTGGGCGGTATCAAAGGATTGATTGAAAACGTACAACTTGCCCTTAAACTTCAAATTTTAAAAAAGTACTTTAAATGCCAAGTTTAAATACACTTCCTAAGCTTATTTCGGTCAAAATTGTTTTTATGAAAGTTGTAATGAACAAATTGCTTTTCGGCAACTAAAATATGTATTTTTCTGTCAAAAAGTATTTTTCAAGCATGTCCATGATGTAAAACAAACCGGAAGATAAATATCTTTACTTCGTTCACCTTCTGTTTTCTTGTTCAGTAGAAAAGCATCTATTGCAATGAAACTAAAAGCCATATATCCAACTTTTATCGCCTCATTATAGCAGTTTCACAGCCATGCTTGCTTTAAAGTAACAAACGCAACCGATCTCAATTGTACTTACAACAACTGGAATTTTATCGGTATTCATTATAACCGTAAACTATCAAATAAAAAAATGAACACGTTATTAACCGTTTAGCTCTTTCCGTACTAAAAAAATTTTCCTTCGGCCTCAGAAGCGTCTCACCTACTTCGGCCTCGGGCCGGTTTTGAGACCTCGGGAAAATATTTTATTTGTACCGACCTCGCAGTCGGTAAATAACATATATTTATTTTGTCTTCGCATTAGTGTGAAATATGTTAACAAAACTCAAAATAACAGTAACTCTAAACAACATTTTGGTTTTTAATCAACGTTTCGACTGGTTTGTAGTCATTCTCAGTATTAAGAATTGCACCAATATATTCAACAGCATCACGAAATAATTTTAAAATTTTCTGTGCAGGAGTGGGATTCGACACCACGCCCACATTAGTGGACCAGAACACCCTTTGGCTGCGCATTAGCAGAGCAAGTTTGGAAACTTGAGTCTGGCGCCTTGGAGCGCTCGGCCATCCTGAGAGCTGATAACTTTCGAGCGTACTGTACTTTACATTACTTTACTTTCTTAAATAATGGAGAAAAAATATTACATTTAAACCAGAAAAATACATCCGACTGCATCTAAATCAACAATCGTCTCTTACATCGCACGTCATTGCTCCTTCAATTGCTTCAAGAAAAGAATCAAAACAGACTTCTGCGGGAGGATTAAATGAATGAATTTTCAATCAATTTTGAACGTTTGAAACTGGGTTAGTATGCGAAGGGTTCCGAGCATGTGCTTGTTTCTGTAGTGTAGCGGTCATCACGTGCGCTTTACGCGCGCAAGGTCGCCCGTTCGAACCTGGGCAGAAGAATCCATTTGGTATTTTACGGAAAATGAAGTGACCAAAATTCAGCAACGCACTGAACTCGTCCTTCCCCAGCCAAGTTTCTGTAGTGTGGTGTAGTGGTCATCACGTGCGCTTCACACACGCAAGGTCCCCAGTTCGAACCTGGGCGGAAACAAAGTAAATGTGTTGCGGAGACGGGCTGTCTATTATCAAATTTTAACTAGCGTACATCATCAGTTGTGAAACAACTCTGACAATCAACTTTTCCTTCTATTGCTTCCATTTGCCCCGTTTTCGAAGAGAGAAGACATTGCGCATTATTTATAACCTTTTCTTAGGTAATCTTCAATAAAAACTGTTTCATGCTAAACACTGATTAATGCATTGACCGGCAGTCGAGATATGCCCTACCGCCCAATATTTAACGAAGCAACAAATATGACAGCTGTTTCCCACGATTTATCTCAAGATTGAGCGATGGGGAGAACGCGAGATTCACTGTCAATGTGCTGCTTCAAACTGACACAACGAAGAAATTTTTTACCTGATCAGCATTTAAGTATTTAAAAATTAATTGGATCGACACAGCGATTTTCCCTGATATAACAAGTAGTTTTCTCCCAGGTAAAACTTCCACATCTGTGAAAGAATTAGCCATTGGCGAACATTTATCGGCAAGCAGGTTTCCGTAGTGTAGTGGTTATCACGTGCGCCTAACACGCGCAAGGTCCCCAGTTCGATCCTGGGCGGAAACAATTGATTGATAGAAAACGTACAACTTGCCTTTAAACATAAATTTTTAAAAAGTACTTTAAATGCAAAGTTTAAAGACACTTCCTAAGCTTATTTCGGTCAAAATTGTTTTTATAGATGTTGTAATGAACAAATTGTTTTTCGGCAACTAACACGCCGGCCCAAAAGTAGTCCAAAATCGCCAAAGGTGTTGTACTTTTTTAATTTTCATCCTGATCGTACGAAATTTTCCATAAATATAGAACATATCATTCTTACAAAACGTGTTGTTTTTGTTTCTGGATTTTTTATTCTTGACGGGAAAATGACGTCACAAACGTGGCGCCAAAAATTTAAAAATTAGCAATGAATAATACTATTTATTTAGTTGGAAGACCATGCTGTAGGATTCCTGAAACTGAAGTCTGTTTCCAAGCACGACCATTCACTGCAAAGTTAGAGTGATTCAAATTTCGAAAATCCGTCATTTTGTTCTATTTTTTTCCAAAATGGCCGATTTTTCGATCTTTCAACTAGCCTATCTTTGCAGCGAATGTTCGTATTTCGATACAGACTTCAGTATCATGTTTCCTACAACATGCGCTTCCATATAAATACATGATATTAGCAATTGGTAATTTTGAAAAATTTTGCGCCAATTTTGTGAAAAAAATTTGCCGCCAAAAAATAAACAGTCCAAAAACAAAAACGCCACGATTTGTAAGAATGATATGTCCTATTTCTAAGGAAAATTTAGTACAATCAGCATGAAAATTAAAGAAGTTACAACACCTCTGGCGAATTTGGACTACTTTTTGTTAGGCGTGTAAAATTTGTATTTTTTTGTCAAAAAGTATTTTTTAAGCATGTCCATGATGTAAAACAAACCGGAAGATAAATATTTTTACTTAGTTTACCTCCTGTTTTGTTGTTCAGTAGAAAAGCATCTATTGCAATGAAACTAAAAGCCATTTATCCAACTTTTATCGCCTCATTTTAGCAGTTTCACAGCCATGCTTGCACTAAAGTAACAAACGCAATCGATCTCAAATGTACTTACAACAACTGTAATTTTATCGGTATTCATTATAACCGTAAACTATAAAATAAAAAAATGAACACGTTATTTACCGTTTAGCTCTTTCCCTATTAAAAAAATTTTCCCTCGGCCTCAGAAGCGTCTCACGGACTTCGACCTCGGGCCGCTTTTGTGACATCGGGAAAATATTTTTTTTGTACTGACCTCGCAGTCGGTAAATAACATATATTTATTTTGTTTCCGCACTAGTATGAAATATGTTAACAAAACTCAAAATAACAGTAACTCCGAAAAACATTTTGGTTTTTAATCAACGTTTCGACTGGTTTGTAGTTATCATTTCTGCCAGTTGTGGGATTCGAACCCACGCCCACATTAGTGGAGCAGAACGACCTTTGGCTGCGCATTAGCAGAGCAAGTTTGCAAACTTTGAGTCTGGAGCCTTAGACAGCTCGGCCATCCTGACAGCTGGTAACCTTCGTGCCTACTGTACTTTACATCATGTTAATTTCATAAATAATGGAGAAAAATTATTTCATTTAAACCAGAAAAATACATCCGACTGCAACTAAATCAACAATCGTTTCTTACATCGCACGTCATTGCTCCTTCTATTGCTTCAAGAGAAGAATCAAAACGGACTTCTGCGGGAGGATTAAATGAATGAATTTTCAGTTAATTTTGAACGTTTGAAACTGGGTTAGTTTGAAAAGGGTTCCGAGCCTGCGCTTGTTTCTGTAGTGTATCGGTCATCACTTGCGCGTTACGCGCGCAAGGTCCCCAGTTCGATCCTGGGCAGAAGCATTATTTTTGTGTTTTATTTAGAGAAAATGAAGAGACCAATATTCAGCAACGCACTGAATTCGTGATTCCGCAGCCAAGTTTCTGTAGTGTAGTGGTCATCACGTGCGCTTCACACGCGCGAGGTCCACAGTTCGAACCTGGGCGGAAATATTGTAAATGTGTTGCGAAGCAACTAAATCAACAATCGTTTCTTACAACGCACGTCAGTGCTCCTTCTATTGCTTCAACAGAAGAATAAAAATTGACTTCTGCGGGAGGATCATTTGAATGGATTTTCAATTAAGTTTCAACGTTTGAAACTGGAGAAGTTTGCAAAGTATTCCGAGCAAGCGCTTGTTTCTGTAGTGTAGCGGTCATTACATGCGCATTACGCGCGCAAGGTCCCCTGTTCGATCCTGGAAAGAAGCTGCATTTGGTGTTTTATTTACAAAAAAAGAAGAGAGCAAAATTCAGCAACACATTGAACTCGTGCTTTACCAGCCAAGTTTCTGTAGTGTAGTGGTCACCACGTGCGCTTCACACGCACAAGGTCCCCAGTTCGAACCTGGGCGCAAACATAGTAAATGTGTTGCGAAGCCCGGCTGTTTATTATCAAATTGTAACTTGCGTACATCATCGGTTGTGAAAAGGTAAACCTATTTTTAAAGACCGCTAATTTGTGACGCGCGATATGGGTTGCACAATCTAATTTTCCTTCTATTGCTCCCATTTGCCCCGTTTTCGCGATCGAAGAGGGAACAACTTGCGCATTATTTATTACCTGTTCTAGCATAATCTTCCCTAAAAACTGTTTCATGCTAAACACTGATTAATGCATTGACCGGCAGTCGAGAGCTGCCCTACCGCCCATTATTTGACGAAGCAATATATATGACAGCTGTTTTCCACGATTGATCTTAAGATTGAATGATCGGGAGAACGCAAGATTCACTGTCAATGTGCTGCTTCAAACTGACACTACGCAGAAATTTTTTAGCTTACCACCATTTAATTATTTAAAAATTAAATGGATCGACACAGCGATTTTCCCTAATATATCCTATAGTTTTCTACCAGGTAAAACTTCCACATCTGGGAATGAATTAGCCATTCATTGGCGAACATTTATCCGCATGCATGTTTCCGTAGTGTAGTGGTCATCACGTGCGCCTAACACGCGCAACGTCCCCAGTTCGATCCTGGGCGGAATCAAAGGATTGATTGGAAACGTACAACTTGCAATTAAACATCAAATTTTAAAAAAGTACTTTAAATGCTAAGTTTAAATACACTTCCTAAGCTTATTTCGGTCAAAATTGTTTTTATGAAAGTTGTAATGAACAAATTGTTTTTCGGCAACTAAAATATGTATATTTCTGTCAAAAAGTATTTTTCAAGCATGTCCATGATGTAAAAGAAACCAGAGGATAAATATTTTTACTTAGTTTACCTTCTGTTTTCTTGTTCAGTAGAAAAGCATCTATTGCAATGAAACTAAAAGCCATTTATCCAACTTTTATCGCTTCATTTTAGCAGTTTCACAGCCATGCTTGCACTAAAGTAACAAACGCAACTGATCTCAAATGTACTTACAACAACTGGAATTTTATTGGTATCATTATAACCGCTTGGACAAGGTCCTTTCCTGAAAAAACTGGTGTCAGAAATAATGCAGCTTTTTCATCTTTATTATTATTATTATTATTAAAACTTTATTTACACACGGTATTCTCGTCAGGATTTAACATGCAACAAACTAAATTAGATAAATTACAAAAGTAGAACCACACTAAACTAAATAGAAAATATAATACCTGCTTTTCATGAGGGCCGTGTACTAAGCTAATATAACAATATACACAAGGAAAGTTAAAATAATTTGGCACAGCCCGATCGGAAATTTATCAAGTTATTTGCTTGCCGTAGCCCAATCGGAAGACTGTTCCACAGCACCGCACCACTACTTGAGATAGTTTGTGCGGGGCTTGAGAACAGCTAGTTTGTTCTCAGTGTTTCTCAGCGAATAAGGATTAACACTGTCACGGTTTACAAACATGGAATGCATGTAATCAGGAGCAAGACCATTTAATGATTTATAGACCAGGACAGCTTTTTGAAACTGGCGCTGGGATGCTAATTTTTTCCAGCCAAGTTTCTCAATTAAACCATCAGCATTAATGTCATAACTGGAGAATGTTAGTACTCTCGCTGCACGATTTTGTAGTTTTTGAAGTTTTTCAGCTAGGGTTTTGTTGCAATTGTCCCAAACTGTGCA